CCCACTTGGAAGGGTTAGAGTTGGCACAAGGTTTTTGGCACTTTAGGGCGGGAGCTGAGCCATCAGGATTGCCATCTTTTGAGCCCAAGGGATGACTGGGCACCTTAGGCTTGGTATTTTATGGAAGGACTATAAGTTCCCACATATCTGAAATATCCCTTAAAAGATTTAGAGTCGGCATAGGGTTTTTGAAAGTTTAGGGTCAGACTGCCATTATCAGAGGCCAGAGGAGAACTGGGAAACTTTATCCCAATATTTTATGGTAGGACTTCCAGTTCCAGCAGAGCTGAAGGCCCCCCATGGAAGAGTTAGCATTGGCACAGAGGTTTGGGAACTTTATGGTGAGAATAGAGCCAGATTGCCCTCACAGGAGCACAGGGGAGGACTTCCAGTTCCAGAATAGCTGAAGGCCCCCATGAAAAGGTTAGATTTGGCACAGGGTTTTTGGCACTTCAGGGTGAGAGCAGGGTGAGATTTCCATAATTGGAGCCCAAGGGATGACTGGGAACCTTTAGCCTGATATTTCTTGGTCGAAATATAAGCTCTTGCATAGTTGAAGTATCCCATGGAAGGGTTAGAGTTGACAAAGAGTTTTTGGGCACTTTATAGCGAGAGCAGGGTCAGATTACCATCACAGGAACCCAAGGAAGGACTTCAAATTCCAGAATAGCTGAAGGCCCCTGTGAAAGGGTTAGATTTGGCACAGGGTTTTTGGCACTTTAGGGTGGGAGCAGGGCCAGAATTGACATCACTGGAGCCCAAGTGACAACTGGGAACCTTTGGCCCGATTAGAACTATAAGTTCTCGCATAGCTGAAGTATCCTGTGAAAGGTTTAGAGTTGGCACAGGGTTTTTGAAAATCTTGGGTCACTCTGCCATCATCAGAGCCTGGGAACCTTTAGCCTGATATTTTATGGTATAACGTCCAGTTCCAGCATAGCTGAAGGGTTAGATTTGGAACTAGACTTTTGCCACTTTAGAGTCATGGCAGGGCCTGATTGGCAACACCGGAGCCCAGGAGAGGACTGGGAACCTTTGGGTAATTATTTCATGGAAGAACTTCAATTTCAACATAGCTGAAGGATCCTGTGGAAGGCTTAGAGACAGTGTAAGGTTTTTAGAAATTTAGATTTAGGGCAGGGCTAGATTGCCATCACCAGAGCACAGGAGAGGACTGGGAACCTTTGTTCTGATATTGTATGGTAGAACTTTCAATTCTAACATAGTTACAAGCTCCTTTGAAGGGGTTAGAGTTTGTGTAGGATTTTTGGATTTATGGTGAGGGAAGGGTGAGATTGCCATCATTGGAGCTCAGGGGAAGATTGGAAGACTTTTGGCCTGCTATTTCATGATATGACCCTCAGTTACAATCATGGAGGGATTAGATTTGGTTAAAATTTTTGGTACTTTAAAAGGAGGGAGATTGCCATTATCAGAGCCTTTGGCCTGGAGGTAGTGGTGTATTTAGGTTTTGTGCTGCCCTAGGCAGCACAAAAATTGGCGCCCCCTCACAAAAAGAGCCTGACATTGACCAAGAACATACCTGCCCTCCACCCGAGCCTTTCACTACCACTGCCCCCCATACACCAGCCACCCATCCTGCATGGCGAGAGAAATACACTCACCTTCACAGCTCTGGACATACCTAGGATCGAGAGTCGGGCTGTGCATACACCGTCTGGAAACCCACAGCATCTCTTGAAACCCACCAGGTCCCATGCTGCGTGTTTCCCTTCTTCCGTCCCTTCTTCCAAGGGGCAGTGCTGCCCCCCCTGAAAAATGCCACCTTTGGCAAATGCCTTGTTTCCCTTGTGGTAAATATACCCCTGCTTTGAGGGAGGAGGGACACCAAACTTGCCCTTTTAATGGGAGAGATTTCTGTGGGCTAAAGAAAGTCTATCATGCAAAGTGTGCCATGGTGCCACTGTGATTGGTGCTAAGGGTGAAAGGTGGCCAGGTAGGTTTTCCCAAAGGACATGGTTTATTAGGATACAGCGTCCAGCATCAGCCTATTTTGCAGCATTCTACCAGATGATATCCAAGAGTCACAAAGGATGATAATGCTGAAGGAATATCATCAACCAGAGGCTATAATCATAGGTGGAGTGAAAGTCTAGTCCAAAAAGCTCCCTTCTGGAGGTACGCTTGACTGTGAGGTGCTTGTGCAGACCAACAGGCAGGTCCCTGAAAAGAGTCAGATGCGAAGACTTCTTGCAGGACACTGGAACACAACAGGCTGGAAAGCGAGATCTAGACAGGTGGTGGTGGGTGGCCATGGAGCAGACAACAGACGGAAGAGCAGACAGAGTCAAAGTTGGGAGGCAAGCCAAGGTCACATCAGAAGATCAGTCAAAGTCAGGAGTTAGTCGAAGTCATGCTGGGAATCAGTAAAGACAAGCTGTGGTGAGGAATTAGCTGAGGTCAAACTGGGAATCGGCAGAGACAAGCCATAGCCACAAGCTGAGATCAAGAGCAGGAAGACAGAGAGATGCAAATCCAAGCGTAGGTTGGGTCGGCAATGGGAAAGCAGATCTCAGGAACAGGTGAAGGGCTAAGTCACAGGGTGAAGACCAACTTTCTTGCTCAGCTCTGTTCCTTAAAGAGTCCATCTGGTGCCAAGATTGGGATTTGGTGTCCTTGCCTGTGCACCTGTACGCACATACATCCATGCAACGTTGCCGCATGAGATAATGCTCACGCAAGCCTTCTTACACACATCGGATAACCTTTGTTCTTCTGATGCCATCCTGACAGGATAACCAACCCAACGTATCTTACCAGGAATAGCCTGGGAGGAGCAAATGTCTTTCTGTTCCCCAGCCCATGTCCTCTTATTCCAGTGCCTGGAGGTGCACAAGGTGTGACACCAAAAGCAAACACCCCACTGCTAGGATCACCAACAGGCACAAAGTCAACAGCATGTGCCTCACCAACATTTTGGGACATTTTGGCAAAACGCAGTGGGGTCAATGGAGAAGGCAAAATAAAGGAGGTTTTTAAAGCATAACTAAAGTCCCGTGGACGGGGTCTGTATCCCGGGGTGTAAGTTTGCACACTATGGCACATTTTCCTTACAGAGTGTTTTGCTGATTCACCGATCCTTGGCATGGTTTAACGTTCACCCTATCAGTAATTAATCCTGGTGACTGGGCCGTTTCTGAGACCTACCTGAGTCCCTTGGAAGAGGCAGACCTTTGAGCCCCTGAAACGCGTTGCCTGTTTTATGTTTTCTTGTCACAAACTAATTCCAATAGCTTCCTGGAAACATCCTGCCTCAGCACTCCTCTTAAGTTCCCTCAGTCCTGATACAAGCAGTGGGCTGGCTCTTGGGAAGACTTATGCCGATATCGAAATGCCAAAATGGGTGGACGTCAGTCTGGAGGAGTGGGCGGTCCTAGCGGGGGTGGGTTTGCATTTCCTGCTGGTAACATTCAGCCTCTCTATTTGTCCTGTTATCATCCAGAATGTTACAGTTGAAAGCAGAACAGGATGGGAGGGTAAATTTCCCAATCTCTATTCCGGGTTCTGGTGACAACCGTGATTTCCCTCACTTTGTAGAGATCTGCTCCAACTTCCTGTTATAGTTTCAGGACAGGAAGTGAAGAAACGTTTCCTAAATGGGACACAAAAAAAAAGAATTGCTTAATAAAGGTTGTAACCCTTCCTTATGGACAAGAGACAACAACTATGTTGCAATATCTGTCACTGAAGTGAATGGGTATGGGTGAGACAAATCCGTAAAAGTCACTTGGAAGGGCACCACAGATGAATGCTGCTCCTCTTAAGAGGTGTTGAGTAGCCCTGTGCATATAATAGATGAACAGAAGAGGGCGCTGGCATCTAAGTGCATGCGATTTATTCAAATCCCTGATTTCATGGCCTCCCAGTCTTAGTCCGTAGGGTTCAATATTGAGTTGGCCCCGCCCTTTCCACACACATGACCTTTAATGGCCCCCCAGTCTTAGTCCGTAGGGTTCAATAATGAGTTGGCCCCGCCCTTTGCAGCTATAACAGCTTCAACTCTTCTGGGAAGGCCGCCCACAAGGTTTAGAGGGTGTCTATGGGAAGGTTGGACCATTCTTCCAGAAGCACATTGGTCAGGTCAGGCACTGATGTCGGGGGAGGAGGCCTGGCTCACAGTCTCCGCTCTAATTCATCCCAAAGGTGCTTTATGGGTTGAGGTCAGGACTCTGTGCAGGACAGTCAAGTTCCTCCACCCCAAACTGGCTCCTCCATGTCTTTATGGACCTTGCTTTGTGTACTGGTGCGGTAGTCATGTTGGAACAGGAAGGGGCCATCCCCAAACTCTTCCCACAAAGTCCAAAATTTCGCCTTGAGAGTTCCCTTAACTGGAACTAGGGGGCCAAGCCCAACCCCTGAAAAACACATACAACGCCACGGCCACTGCAGCGATATAGAAGAATGACCTGTTGGGGAAATATTCCAGCCCTGCCCAGAAAATGATGCGAATGGATTGTCTGTGTAATACCATGAATGGGCATCCTAAAGGCTCTCAGTGATGGACCTCAGCACAAAATAATGACCAGGTTTTTTTTTTTTTTTTACTTTGTACAAAAGGTATTAAAAATGAATAAACTGCCCCCCCCCCCCCCCCCCCTTCAATATGAAAAGCTGTAAATGTAACACACCTCGGGATGTATTTAAAAAATGCATACCAATTTGCCCTGTGAAAGTGCAAGTACATTTGTTTTATGAAAATGGGGCAAACAGAAAAAAATGAATGTTATCAGCCTATTTCCTGTGGTGGTTGAATGTAAATCCTTGATTTAAAACCGAAAATACCACATTTGGCCATTAGATGGTGCTAAGTGTCAGTGATACTTATCACCATCTAATGGCCAGATGTGTTTATTTTCAGCTTTAAATTGATGATAAACGTTCAACCAGCACAGGAAACAACCTGATAACATTCGTTTTTTGCCTCCTTCACTGTCTGCATGAACCATCTGTGATATTATGGCTGCTTTGTGTCATTTCAGCTCACTGTATACCTGGGGAAGAGGGACTTTGTGGATCACATAGATGTTGTGGATCCCGTTGGTGAGTATTCTATTGGCTATTGGTCCTGAAGAAAATAACCTGAAGATGATGCTCTCGTTCTCTCTCTCCTCCCTCATCTCTCGTTCTCTCTCTCCCTCATCTCTCGTTCTCTCTCTCCCTCATCTCTCATCTTCTCTCTCTCTCTCATCTCTCATTCTCTCTCTCCCTCTCTCCCTTTCTCTCTCTCCCTCATCTCTCGTTCTCTCCCTCCCTCATCTCTCATTCTCTCTCTCCTCATCTCTCTCTCTCCCTCATCTCTCGTTCTCTCCCCCCCTCTCATCTCTCGTTCTCTCCCCCCCCTCATCTCTCTTCTCTCCCTCCCTCATCTCTCGTTCTCTCTCCCCCTCATCTCTCGTTCTCTCCCTCCCTCATCTCTCTCTCTCTCTCCCTCTCTTCTCTCGTTCTCTCTCCCCTCTCTCATCTCTCTCTCTCTCTCTCCCTCATCTCTCTCTCTCTCCCCTCATCTCTCTCTCTCTCTCCTCTCTCTCTCATTCTCTCTCTCCCTCATCTCTTCTTCTCTCTTCTCTCTCCCTCATCTCTCTTCTCTCTCTCTCTTCATCTCTCTCTCTCCTCCCTCATCTCTCCTTCTCTCTCTCCTTCTCCTCTCTCCTCCCCCCCCTCTCTCTTCTCCCTCTCCTCATCTCTCTTCTCCCTCTCTCCTTCTTCTCTCTCTCTCTCTCATTCTCTCATCCTCTCCTCTCTTCTCTCTCTTCTCTCCTTCTCTCTCTCTCATCTCTCTTCTCCCTCTCTCTTCTTCTCTCTCTCTCCCTCTCTCTCCCCTCTCTCATCTCTCTCCTCATCTCTCATTCTCTCTCTCTTCTCTCCTCCATCTCTCATTCTCTCCTCTCCCTCATCTCTTCTCTCTCATCTCTCTCTCCCTCTCTTCTCTCTCATATTCTCCGCTCTCTCTCTCTCCTCATTCTCTCATCTCCTCTCTCTTCTCATCTCTTCTTCTCTCTCTCTCCCCTCGTCTCTTCATTCCTCTCCCTCATCTCTTTCTCTCTCTCCTCATCCATTCTCCTCCTCTCTCCTCATCTCTCCTCTCTCTCCCCTCTCTCTCTCTCTCCTTCTCTCCTCTCTCTTCATCCCATCTCTCTCTCCCTCATCTCTCTTCTCTCTCTCTCTCTCATCTCTCCATCTCTCTCTCTTCTCTCTTCTCTCCTCCTCTCTCCCCTCCTCTCTCTCTCTCCTCTCTCATTCTCTCTCTCCCTCATCTCTCTTCTCTCCTCCTCTCTTCTCTCATCCTCTCTCCTCTCTCCTCTCTCATTCCTCTCTCATCTCCTCTCTCCCTCTCCCATCTCTTCTCTCTCTCTCCCCTCCTCTTCTCTCTCTCTCTCTCCTCCTTCTCTTTCTCCATTCTCTCTCATCTCCCTCTCTCTCTCTCTTCTCCTCTCTCTCTCTCCTCTTCTCTCTCTCTCCTTCTCTCTCTCTCTCCTTCTCCTTCTTCTCATCATTCTTCTCTCTCCCTCTCTTCCTCTCTCTCTCTCCTCTCTCTCTCTCTCTCATCTCTCATTCTCTCCCTTCTCTCTCCTCCTCTCTCTCTTCTCTCTCTCTCCTTCTCATCTCTTCTTCCTCTCCTCTCTCTCTCTTCTTCCTCTCTCCTTTCCCTTCTCCTCTCTCTCTCTCTCATTTTCTCTCCCCCTCTCTCTCTCTCTCTCTCTCTCTCTCATCTTCTCATCTCTCCTCCCTCTCACCTCATCTCTCATTCTCTCTCCTCTCTCTCTCTCTCATCTCTCTCTCCTCTTCTCTCATTCTCTCTCTTCTCTCTTCTCTCTCTCTCTCCTTTCTCTCTCTTCTTCTCTCTCTCCTCATCTCTCTTCTCTCTCCTTCTCTCTCTCCCTCCCTCTTTCCCTCTCTCATTCTCTCTCTCCTCTCTCTCTTCTCTCTCATCTCTCATTCTCTCTCTCCTTCTCTCTCTCTTCTCTCTCTCTCTCATCTCCTCATCCTCTCATTCTCATCCTCTCCCTCTCATCTCTCATTCTCTCTCCCTCTCTCATTCTCTCTCTCTTCTCTCTCTCTCCTTCTTCTCTCTCCTTCTTCTCTCACTCATCTCACTTCTCTCTCCTCTCTCTCCATTTCTCTCTCTCTCTCCTGTCTCTCTCCCTCTCAAACATCTCTTCACTCTCTCTCTTCTCCTCTCGGTCTCTCTCTTCCTCCCCCACATCTCTCGTTCTCCCTCTCCTTTATTTCTCATTCTCTTCCCACCCTGTCCTGCATCTCTCATTCTGTCTCCCTCTCCCTCATCTCTCATTCTCATTCACTCTTTCCCTCTCCCGCATCTCTTGTTCTATCTCTTCTGCATCTCTCGTTTTATTTCTCCAGCATCTCTCATTCACCCTCTTCCACATTTCTCTCATTCTCCCTCTCTCTCTCCTCTCCCACATCTCTCATTCTCTCTCTCCCTCTCCCGCATCTCTCGTTCTCTCTCTCTCCCTCTCCCGCATCTCTCGTTCTCTCTCTCCCTCTCCCTCATCTCTCGTTCTCTCTCTCCCTCTCCTGCATCTCTCTTTCTCTTTCTCCCTCTCTCACATCTCTTGTTCTTTCTCCCGAACATCTCTTGTTCTCTCTCCCCCTCTCCTACATTTATTGGTCTCTCTGCTTCTCTAATCTCTCTTTTTTCTCCCTTCCACTCCCGTATTTTCTTTCTCTCTCCTCTCTCTCTCTTTCTCTCTCTCTCTCTCTCTCTCTCTCTCTCTCTCCTCCTTGCTTCTCCCCCCTTCCCTCTTACTCTTTTGAGCTCTAAAGAATTTTTTTCTCCCTCCTCTAGATGGTGTTGTTCTGGTTGACCCTGAATATCTGAAGGAGCGGAAAGGTAATCTATGTTCTCTAGTTATCTTCTTCTAGGGTCATCGGTATAATAATACGTTTGTTGGGTTCTCCTAAGCCCAAGACATTGGTTGCTTCTACCTGTTGAGTGTCCTCCAGTGGATAGAGTAAGAAATTATAGTGTAAGGGGTTACAAATATTTGTTGTCTCAGCCAATTACTAAGGGGTTCATGCCGGGGGTGTGGGCTAAGGAAAATGATAAATATTTGGAGTGAGATTCTAAAAAGGTCCTTGTCTCCCAGGCTTCGCCTTGTGAGAAGGTCTTTGTAGAAGTTTTTTTCATTCCTCACAGGCTTTTGCCTGGGGGAGAATACCAGAAAGAAGAAGAGGTTTGTTCTACTGGCTGCCACTTGGACCCAAGCAATTCAAGCTGACCTATGGAAGAGACCCACAAAATCCTAAGTTGGCCAGTGTTAGAGGCCCAAGCAACTGGAAGGTATCCACCTGTCTGGGTCTACAGAATCTACACTGGCTTGTTACAGAGACCTAAAGAACTCTAGCAGCAGACCTGCAGCAGAGGTGAAAAAGAACCTAAAGAATCTAAGCTGGTCAATGGCAGAGACCCAGAGAACCTAAAAATCTAAACTGGTCTATGGCAGGGAACCAATGAACCCAAAGAGTCTAGGTTGGTCTCCAGCAGAAGCCAAAAGAATCTAAAGAGTCTAAGTTGGTCTATGGCAGAAGCCCAAATAACCTAAAGTGTTTCATCTGGTCTATGGCAGAGGTCAGAGAACCTAAAGTGTCTAAGCTGGTCTATGGCAGATGCCCAAAGAATCTAGAGTGTAAGCTGGTCTATGGCAGAGGCCAAAGAACCTAAAGAGTCTACGCTGGTCTATGGCAGAGGTAAAAAAAAAAATCTAAAGAGTCTAAGATGATCTATAGCAGAGGCCTAAAGAGTCTAAGCTGATCTATGGCAGAGGCCCAAAGAACCTAAAGAGTCTAAGCTGATCTATGGCAGCGGCTCAAAAAACCTAAAATATCTAAGTTGATCGATGGCATAGGTCAAAAGAACCTAAGGAGCCTAAGAAGATCTATAGCAGAGGCCCAAAGAACCTAAATAGTCTAAGCTGGTCTATGGCAGATGCTCAAAGAATCTAAATAATGTAAGCTGGTATATGTCAGAGGCCCAAAGAACCTAAAGAGTCTAAGCTGGTCTATGGCAGATGCTCAAAGAATCTAAAGAATGTAAGCTGGTCTATGGCAGAGGCCAAAGAACCTAAAGAGTCTAAACTGATCTATGGCAGAGGCCCAGAAAAACCTAATATATCTAAGCTGGTCTATTGCATAGGTCAAAAGAACCTAAAGAGTCTAAGAAGATCTATAGCAGAGGCCCAAAGAACCTAAAGTGTCTAAGCTGGTCTATGGCAGATGCCCAAAGAATCTAAAGAGTGTAAATTGGTCTATGGCAGAGGCCAAAGAACCTAAAGAGTCTTAACCGACCAAAGAACATAATATGTCTAAGCTGGTCTATGGCATAGGTCAAAAGAACGTAAAGAGTCCAAGCGGGTCTATGACAGAGGCCCAAAGAGTCTAAGCTGGTCTATGGCAGAGGCCCAAAGAATCTAAAGAGTGTAAGCTGGTCTATGGCAGAGGCCAAAGAACCTAAAGAGTCTTAACCGACCAAAGAATATAATATGTCTAAGCTGGTCTATGGCAGAGGCCAAAGAACCTAAAGAGTCTAAACTGATCTATGGCAGAGGCCCAGAAAAAACCTAATACATCTAAGCTGGTCTATTGCATAGGTAAAAAGAACCTAAAGAGTCTAAGAAGATCTATAGCAGAGGCCCAAAGAACCTAAAGTGTCTAAGCTGGTCTATGGCAGATGCCCAAAGAATCTAAAGAGTGTAAGCTGGTCTATGGCAGAGGCCAAAGAACCTAAAGAGTCTTAACCGACCAAAGAACATAATATGTCTAAGCTGGTCTATGGCATAGGTCAAAAGAACGTAAAGAGTCCAAGCGCTGGCCTTTGACAGGGCCTTTGACAGAGGCCCAAAGAGTCTAAGCTGGTCTATGGCAGAGGCCAAAAGAACCTAAAGAGTCTAAGCTGGTCTATGTCAGAGGCCCAAAGAATCTAGTGTCTAAGCTGGTCTATGTCAGAGGCCCAAAGAATCTAAAGAGTGTATGCTGGTCTATGGCAGAGGCCAAAGAACCTAAAGAGTCTTAAGGCTAAACAGTCTATGGAAGAGGTTAAAAGAACCTGAAGTGTCTATGCTGGTCTATGACAGGGGACCAAAGAACCTAAAGTGTCTAAGCTGGTATATGACAGAAGCCCAAAGACCCTAAACAGTCTAAGCTGGTATATGTCAGAGGCCCAAAGAACCTAAAGTGTTTAAGCTGGTCTATGGCAGAGGCTATAAGAACCTAAAGTGTCTAAGCTGGTCTATGGCAGAGGCCCAAAGAACCTAAAGTGTCTAAGCTGGTATATGACAGAGGCCCAAAGACCCTAAACAGTCTAAGCTGATCTATGTCAGAGGCCCAAAGACCCTAAACAGTCTAAGCTGGTCTATGGCAGAGGCTATAAAAGTGTTTTTAAGAACCTAAAGCATCTAAACTGGTGAACGGCAGAGGCCAAAAGAATCTAAAGAGTCTAAGCTGGTCTTTGGTGGCCTGAAGAATCCTAAATTGGTCGAAGGCAAAGGCCTAAGAAACTGGATGATTTTTGCCTGAGCTTAGAAGATTCTTGGAGAAGAAGAATGAAGATTCTTGAAGAAGAATCTTGGAGAAGATTGACACACAGAGGGATATTTTGCTTTTCCACAAAATAATCAAGGAGATAAATATGAGAACGAGGATTTGAAGTAATAAAGCAGCCCCTTGAATTTTAGATGGGCGGGCTACCACACTAAATCCCACCAAAAATGTACATGTATTAGTCTTTGTACCGAGGCACACCGTAGCGTCTTACTTTACGATGTGGTGTACTGCAGCACATGTCCGTTAGCAAGGAGCGTTTGGGTGCCATTAAGAATTGATAGCACCACAGCGCACGAACTTGCACGTTTTTTGCATCCAGGCTAAGTGCAAGCCGTGTGAGCTCAGCCTACAGAAGTTGGTGATTGTTCTTGACATGTGAGTTCCCATAAAGTCCCCGTGATGAGTTTAAAATGGAATTACACAGCAAAACATCTAATTAGAAAGTACCGGCGGTCCCCCGATCACAAGATCTCCCCCAACACAACCTCCTAAACGTCAGAGGGGAATCGGTTTTATGTCTTTAGAAAACCAAAGCCGAGTCAGAGGTTTCTAATTAAAGCTTGGCGTGTCTTCTGCGTGAAGATAATTTGGTTTTTACGTATTTGTTTTCTTCCTCCAGTATTCGTGACTCTGACCTGCGCGTTCCGTTATGGCCGGGAGGATCTCGATGTTTTGGGCTTGACGTTCCGCAAAGACCTTTTTGTTGCCAACATTCAGGCTTTCCCACCCGTCCCGGAGGAGAAGAAGCCGCTGACTCGACTGCAGGAACGTTTGATCAAGAAGCTGGGCGAGCACGCCTACCCGTTCACCTTCGAGGTAGGGGGGAGGATCATTGGGACCTCTGAGTGGTGTAACAGTAACTAGAACTACCCAAAGGGCTTCCATGGGGTCGGGGGGGGGAAGGGGGTGGAAGGGGGTCAGTTTGTTGAGGCAAATTAAACATTTGTATGCCTGGAAAGATAGCATGCATCCATCACTGTGGCATTAAGGATTGACCCTGTACCCTCTGTGACACTGACCCTGTACCCCCTGTGACACTGACCCTGTACCCCCTGTGACACTGACCCTGTACCCCCCGTGACACTGACTCTGTACCCCCTGTGACACTGACTCTGTACCCCCGTGACACTGACCCTGTACCCCCTGTGACACTGACCCTGTACCCCCTGTGACACTGACCCTGTACCCCCTGTGACACTGACTGTGTACCCCCGTGACACTGACTCTGTACCCCCTGTGACACTGACCCTGTTCCCCCTGTGACACTGATCCTGTACCCCCCGTGACACTGACCCTGTACCCCCGTGACACTGACCCTGTACCCCCTGTGACACTGACCCTGTACCCCCTGTGACACTGACTCTGTACCCCCGTGACACTGATCCTGTACCCCCTGTGACACTGACCCTGTACCCCCTGTGACACTGACCCTGTACCCCCCGTGACACTGACTCTGTACCCCTCGTGACACTGACTCTGTACCCTCCGTGACACTGACTCTGTACCCCCGTGACACTGACCCTGTACCCCCTGTGACACTGACTTTGTACCCCTGTGACACTGACTCTGTACCCCTGTGACACTGACTCTGTACCCCCTGTGACACTGACTGTGTACCCCCGTATCACTGACTGTCTACCCCTGTGACACTGACTCTGTACCCCCGTGATACTGACTCTGCACCCCCTGTGACTTTGACCCTGTACCCCCATGACGCTGACCCTGTACCTCCTGTGACACTGACCCTGTACCCCCATGACACTGACTCTGTACCCCCCGTGACACTGACCCTGTACCCCCGTGACACTGACCCTGTACCTCCTGTGACTCTGACTCTGTACCCCCTGTGACACTGACCCTGTACCCCCTGTGACATTGACCCTGTACCCCCTGTGACATAGATCCTGTACTCCCTGTGACACATACTCTGTGTCACTGACCCTGTACCCCTATGATACTGACCCTGTACCCCCCTGTGACACTGACCTTGTACACCCTGTGACACTGACCTTGTACCCCCCTTTGTGCCTGGCCCTGTACCCCCTTTGTCCCTGACCCTGTACCCCTTTGTCCCTGACCCTGAACTTCCTGTAACTTTGACCCTCTACCCTCTGCAACACATACCCTGTGCCCTCTTATGTGTCCCTGACCCTGTACCCCCTGTGACTCTGACCCTATTTTCCCTGTGACTCTGAACTTGTACCCCCATGACACTTACCTGTATCCCTCATGACACTGACCACATACCCCCTGTGACACCAACCCTGTATCCCCTGTGAGCCTGACCCTGTATCCCCTGTCACCCTGACCATCTACCCCCTGTGACCTTGATCCTGTACCCCCTAAGACACTAACCCTGTACCCCATATCACCCTGACCCCATACCTCCCGTAAACCTGACCCCATACCCCCATGACACTGACCCCGAACCCCCTGTGACACTGAACCCATACCCCCTGTGACACTGAACCCATACCCCCTGTAACACTGAACCCATACCCCCTGTGACACTGACCCCGTACCCCCTGTGGCACTGAACCCATACCCCTTGTGACACTGAACCCATACCTCTTTTGACACTGAACCCATACCCCTTGTGACACTGAACCCATACCCCCTGTGACACTGAACCCATACCCCCTGTAACACTGAACCCATACCCCCTGTGACACTGACCCCGTACCCCCTGTGGCACTGAACCCATACCTCTTTTGACACTGAACCCATACCCCTTGTGACACTGAACCCATACCTCTTTTGACACTGAACCCATACCCCTTGTGACACTGAACCCATACCCCTTGTGACACTGAACCCATACCCCTTGTGACACCGAACCCATACCCCTTGTGACACTGAACCCATACCTCTTTTGACACTGAACCCATACCCCTTGTGACACTGAACCCATACCCCTTGTGACACTGAACCCATACCCCTTGTGACACTGAACCCATACCCCTTGTGACACTGAACCCATACCTCTTTTGACACTGAACCCATACCCCTTGTGACACTGAACCCATACCTCTTTTGACACTGAACCCATACCCCTTGTGACACTGAACCCATACCCCTTGTGACACTGAACCCATACCCCTTGTGACACCGAACCCATACCCCTTGTGACATAGACCAGAAAGTTCCCCGAGACCAGAAAGTTACTTCGAGGGTTCCTCTACGTTGAAATGGTTAAGAATGGCTGGTCCAAACCTTTCCATCTCCATCCGAAAGCACAAGTTGTTGGTTTATATGAGGTGTTTATAGTGAAGAGAAGATAAAGGAGCTCGGGGAACGGGGAGGGATGTATTAAGGAGGACATTTAAGTCCATGAGATACCTGGGCTCTCAGTAGTTGCCTCCTCAGGATTGGAAGAGTCACCCTGGCCGGTTTGGTAACTACCTCCACTCTTACTTCCTTACTCTGCCCATATTTGTATCCATTACCCAATTCAGTGACCGGAATCTACCGATGTTTAGTAACATAGTCCTCCACTCATCTCATCATGTATAATTATTATTACTAAAAGATGATGTCATGTCTATATTCATTTTTTTTTCTCTGCCGTCTACAGATCCCACCAAACCTCCCCTGTTCAGTGACCCTCCAGCCGGGGCCCGAGGACACTGGAAAGGTATATTATATATTTAATCGAATAGAGGTGCTGATCTGCCCCCTGGTGGCAGGGTGTAAGATCACACGCGTGGATTCTCCACCTGGAAGTGCTGATTGGACGGCGGGTGGGTGGTACAGTTCTGCAGGACCAGACTTGCCATTAGGATGAGTAGACCCAGGGCTATAGGCAAAAGGGGGCTTTTTATTTTCACTGACCACACATTCTCCCCCATTGTAAGAAACAAGACAGATGCACCATATTGTACCCCAGTATGGCCCAGGAAATGACCGGTTGCAATGGAGGAAATCCCAGCAGAGGGGCCTGGCTGGGGGCCCCAGAGGCTGCATGTCTACTGGAGAGAGTGACGGTAGTCCGATCCTCTTGTTCATGTTAGACTCTGAATATTTAGGTGTAATTTTTTTTTGGGGGGGGGTGAGGTTGGCATTAGAGGCAGTAGGGATGTAACATTGGGTCTCAGTGGGGGAGGGACATTGGTGTTCATTGGGGGAGGGACATTGGTGTTCATAGAGGGAGGGACATTGGTGTTTAGTGGGGGGGATGAACACTATTGTACAGTACAGTGAGGGACATTGGTGCTGAGCTGGGGAGGGACATTGGAGCTGAGCTGGGGAGGGACATTGGTGCTGAGCTGGGGAGGGACATTGGTGCTGAGCTGGGGAGGGACATTGGTGCTGAGCTGGGGAGGGACATTGGTGCTCAGCTGGGGAGGGACATTGGTGCTGATCTGGGGAGGGACATTGGAGCTGAGCTGGGGAGGGACATTGGTGCTGATCTGGGGAGGGACATTGGTGCTGAGCTGGGGAGGGACATTGGTGCTGAGCTCGAGAGGAACATTGATGTTCAGTGTGGTACATTGTTATTATAGGACAGGGGGGGCTCTCAGGGTGATACATTGTTATTATAGGACAGTGGGGGCTCTCAGGGTGATACATTGTTATTATAGGACAGTGGGGGCTCTCAGGGGTATACATTGTTATTATAGGACAGTGGGGGCTCTCAGGGTGATACATTGTTATTATAGGACAGGGGGGGCTCTCAGGGTGATACATTGTTATTATAGGACAGTGGGGGCTCTCAGGGTGATACATTGTTATTATAGGACAGGGGGGGCTCTCAGGGTGATACATTGTTATTATAGGACAGGGGGGGCTCTCAGGGTGATACATTGTTATTATAGGACAGGGGGGGCTCTCATGGTGATACATTGTTATTATAGGACAGTGGGGGCTCTCAGGGTGATACATTGTTATTATAGGACAGGGGGGGCTCTCAGGGTGATACATTGTTATTATAGGACAGTGGGGGCTCTCAGGGTGATACATTGTTATTATAGGACAGTGGGGGCTCTCAGGGTGATACATTGTTATTATAGGACAGGGGGGGCTCTCATGGTGATACATTGTTATTATAGGACGGGGGGGCTCTCAGGGTGATACAGTGTTATTATAGGACAGGGGGGGCTCTCAGGGTGATACATTGTTATTATAGGACAGGGGGGCTCTCAGGGTGATACATTGTTATTATAGGACAGTGGGGGCTCTCAGGGTGATACATTGTTATTATAGGACAGCGGGGGCTCTCAGGGTGATACATTGTTATTATAGGACAGGGGGGCTCTCAGGGTGATACATTTTTATTATAGGACAGGGGGGGCTCTCAGGGTGATACATTGTTATTATAGAACAGCGGGGGCTCTCAGGGTGATACATTGTTATTATAGGACAGGGGGGGCTCTCAGGGTGATACATTGTTATTATAGGACAGGGGGGGCTCTCAGGGTGATACATTGTTGTTATAGGACAGTGGGGGCTCGCAGGGTGATACATTGTTATTATAGGACAGCGGGGGCTCTCAGGGTGATACATTGTTATTATAGGACAGCGGGGGCTCTCAGGGTGATACATTGTTGTTATAGGACAGTGGGGGCTCTCAGGGTGATACATTGTTATTATAAGACAGGGGTGGCTCTCAGGGTGATACATTGTTATTATAGGACAGGGGTGGCTCTCAGGGTGATACATTGTTATTATAGGACAGGGGGGGCTCTCAGGGTGATACATTGTTGTTATAGGACAGCGGGGCCTCTCAGGGTGATACATTGTTATTATAGGACAGCGGGGGGCTCTCAGGGTGATACATTGTTATTATAGGACAGCGGGGGCTCTCAGGGTGATACATTGTTATTATAGGACAGCGGGGGGCTCTCAGGGTGATACATTGTTATTATAGGACAGGGGGGGGCTCTCAGGGTGATACATTGTTATTATAGGACAGGGGGGCTCTCAGGGTGATACATTGTTATTATAGGACAGGGGGGGCTCTCAGGGTGATACATTGTTAATATAGGACAGGGGGGGCTCTCAGGGTGATACATTGTTATTATAGGACAGGGGGGCTCTCAGGGTGATACATTGTTATTATAGGACAGGGGGGGCTCTCAGGGTGATACATTGTTATTATAGGACAGGGGGGGCTCTCAGGGTGATACATTGTTATTAGAAGGAGATTGTGGATGACATTTGTTTCTCGGCCCCCCAGGCCTGTGGTGTGTGGACTATGAGGTGAAGGCTTTCTGTGCCGAGACATTGGAGGAGAAAATCCATAAAAGGTAACAATATATTTCTAGGTGTTCGGTGTTCTGCATCACATGTTCCTCATCAGTTCCTCCGAGGGATCGGGATACTCACCGAGTCTACGGCTCCTACAGTGCTTCTGTACTTATACTATCACGGGGGGCCAAACCCCACTCTTCCCACATATCCTCTACCAGCCTATGGCTTGGATGACACTTCTGTACCTATACTATCACTGGAGGCCAAACCCCACTCTTCCCACATATCCTCTACCAGCCTATGGCTTGGATGACACTTCTGTACCTATACTATCACTGGAGGCCAAAGCTCACTCTTCCCACATATCCTCTACCAGCCTATGGCTTGGATGACACTTCTGTACTTATACTATCACTGGAGGCCAAACCCCACACTCTTGGCTTGGATGACCCACATATCCTCTACCCCAGCCTATGGCTTGGATGACACTTCTGTACCTATACTATCACTGGGAGGCCAAACCCCACTCTTCCCACATATCCTCTACCAGCCTATGGCTTGGATGACACTTCTGTACTTATACTATCACTGGAGGCCAAACCCCACTCTTCCCACATATCCTCTACCAGCCTATGGCTTGGATGACACTTCTGTACTTATACTATCACGGGGGCCAAACCCCACTCTTCCCACATATCCTCTACCAGCCTATGGCTTGGATGACACTTCTGTACTTATACTATCACTGGAGGCCAAACCCCACTCTTCCCACATATCCTCTACCAGCCTATGGCCCGGATGACACTGTACTTATACTATCACGGGGGGCCTGGATGATGACACTTCTGTACTTATACAATCATGGAGGCCAAACCCCACTCTTCCCACATATCCTCTACCAGTCTATGGCCTGGATGACACTTCTGTACTTATACAATCATGGGAGGCCAAACTTCCCCCTCCAGCCTTGTTCCCAGCAATATGTTTCCTGCCTATGGCTTGTACAGAACTTCTGTATTCATACTATCAGTAGTATCAGGCCGAACCTCACCCTTCCCAAGTATATACCCCAGTCTATTGCCTGGATGACACTTCTGTACTTATACTATCACTGGAGGCCAAACCCCACCCTTACCAATAGTGATGGGCTGAACACCCTCCTGGTCGGTTCGCGGTCGAACATTCGAACCTAACAAAAATTCAACCGCGAGCTTCGAACAGGAACCATTCACTGAGCGGTATCTTCCTGCATCTGAGGATGTGGTGCGATCCCGCTCAGTGACTACAATCCGGCGGGAGTTCTATGATGAAGTCACGCGATATTTTAGTAGTGAGACATTCGTTCATGTTCCTGGTGTCAGTGGGGTTCCTGGTGTCAGTGGGGTTCCTGGTGTCAGTGGGGTTCCCCACTCACAGCTGAATGTAGAGAGAATTGCTGGCATTGCCCGACAATAAAAAAAAAAAAAATGCATGGATTCCCCCTTCCCCCATCCTTACCAAGCCCTTTGGGTCTGGTATAGATTTTGAGGGGAACCCCCACGGCAAACTGAAAAGAAAAATAGCGTGGGGGTCCCCCCCAAAATCCATACTAAGCCCTTATCCGAGCATGCAGGTCAGGAAAGGGGGGGGCGAGCAAGCTCCCCCTCTCCCCGAACCATACCAGGTAACATGCCCCCCCCCCCACAAAAGCACCTTGTCCCCATGTTGATAAAACAGGAATATATAAAAAAAAATCCCCCCCCCCCCCCCCGAAGTAGATCCAACGTCAATCACGATGCCTGCTAACCGAGAAAAGAAGAAGGAAAAAAAGAAACACTCTGCTCTCAAACACTGGCTCCTACCGTCTGATGGCTGTGCTGGGATGACAGTTCTACGATGACGTCACAAGGGAGCGGGGTCACTCAGCCACCTTGAGACGTCATCATGCGGGATGAATTGTGGGGTACGGCGGGTGAACAGCCCACTGAAAGCTCTTACTGTTCTCGTGTTCTCCGAACACACGAATGGCCGATGTCCAACTTACGTTTGCTCTGAACACCAAGCCCACCGCTACTTTCCAGGTATACTCCCCCATCTCCGGAGGGTGAGCCCAGCCTATCCTGGCCATGCACGCCCCTGTGGGGACAATTGAAGGGATCGCTATGTTCATGGAGACCATTACAGAGGGAGGACATTCTTCATCTGGGTTTTATTTGCCTTCCTCTGGATCCGTGGTGGGTGTTGGCTTCTGTATTCGGAGGTTTTCTACTCGGTTGGATGAACTGGATGGACTTGTGTCTTTGTCTCCTCCGGACTATCTATGCAACAATGTAACAGGTCTTCTTTGTATCCGGTATCCCCATGGGCACCGTACTTGTGTCTTTGTCTCCTCCGGACTATCTATGCAACAATGTAACAGGTCTTCTTTGTATCCGGTATCCCCATGGGCACCGTACTTGTGTCTTTGTCTCCTCCGGACTATCTATGCAACAATGTAACAGGTCTTCTTTGTATCCGGTATCCCCATGGGCACCGTACTTGTGTCTTTGTCTCCTCCGGACTATCTATGCAACAATGTAACAGGTCTTCTTTGTATCCGGTATCCCCATGGGCACCGTACTTGTGTCTTTGTCTCCTCTGGACTATCTATGCAACAATGTAACAGGTCTTCTTTGTATCCGGTATCCCCATGGGCACCGTACTTGTGTCTTTGTCTCCTCCGGACTATCTATGCAACAATGTAACAGGTCTTCTTTGTATCCGGTATCCCCATGGGCACCGTACTTGTGTCTTTGTCTCCTCTGGACTATCTATGCAACAATGTAACAGGTCTTCTTTGTATCCTGTATCCCCATGGGCACCGTACTTGTGTCTTTGTCTCCTCTGGACTATCTATGCAACAATGTAACAGGTCTTCTTTGTATCCGGTATCCCCATGGGCACCGTATTTGTGTCTTTGTCTCCTCCGGACTATCTATGCAACAATGTAACAGGTCTTCTTTGTATCCGGTATCTCCATGGGCACCGTACGATCGGGGTGACTTCATATCCAAGACATGGCCGATCCTCCGCTGACCTCACCCGTGGCTCTTCTCCTGTCGGGGCGGAGGAGCATTCTCTTCTTCCGCTAGACTTCATCCTCCCCTCCCCCCAACCCCGACGTGTCTGTAACATGCTGACTGCGTTCCGGAGGGAGCGATTTGCGGCGCTGCCAACGATTCCGCGTGACGTGTTTACACCGACAAAGGCGCTGCGCTCCTCCGGAGGATCGGGAGCAAAGGGAAAATCCCGAAATGTTCTATTATTCTAGGGAATGGTTATGCAGCAGAGAATGTGACGTTCACCCCGGGCCCCAGGAAGATTCACCTGCGGTGAATGTTTAATGAACGTCACATATACTTCTTTTATAAATATGATCCCATGTGCCGGCACAGGCATCGTCTAATGGGCCGGAACATTCTTGCCGATTCTGGTCTTGGGTATGGTGGAGCACCATTGGGTGTAATGGGCTTTAAATGTCCCGCCCCCGCCTAGATCTCTCCACTCCCAGGCAATGCACCTTTGTCCGGGCCAATTAGACTGCAGACAAGTGACTGCGGATCCCTCATGCTCCTATCACTCCTATTACCCAAGTGCCTGTCCCCCCCCCCCGCTTAGACCACTCCACTCCCAGGAAATGTATCTCTGTCCAGGCCAATTAGATTGCAGACAAGTGACTGCGGATCCCTCATGCTCCGATTACTCCTACTAACCAAGTGCCTGTCCCCGCCCCCGCTTAGACCACTCTACTCCTAGGCAATGCTCCTCTGTCCAGGCCAATTAGACTGCAGACGAGTGACTGCGGATCCCCCATGCTCCGATCACTCCTATTACCCAAGTGCCTGTCCCTGCCCCCCGCCTAGACCACTCCACTCCCAGGCAATGCACCTCTGTCCAGGCCAATTAGACTGCAGACGAGTGACTGCGGATCCCTCATGCTCCGATTACTCCTACTAACCAAGTGCCTGTCCCCGCCCCCGCTTAGACCACTCTACTCCTAGGCAATGCTCCTCTGTCCAGGCCAATTAGACTGCAGACGAGTGACTGCGGATCCCCCATGCTCCGATCACTCCTACTACCCAAGTTCCTGTCCCCGCCCCCCGCCTAGACCACTCCACTCCCAGGAAATGTATCTCTGTCCAGGCCAATTAGATTGCAGACAAGTGACTGCGGATCCCTCATGCTCCGATTACTCCTACTAACCAAGTGCCTGTCCCCGCCCCCGCTTAGACCACTCTACTCCTAGGCAATGCTCCTCTGTCCAGGCCAATTAGACTGCAGACGAGTGACTGCGGATCCCCCATGCTCCGATCACTCCTACTACCCAAGTTCCTGACCCCGCCCCCCGCCTAGACCACTCCTCCCCAGGAAATGCATCTCTGTCCAGGCCAATTAGACTGCAGAAAAATTACTGTGCAACCCTCTGCTAATCCACCCCCTCCAAACCATTATGGTCCCAGGTGCCTGATCTCCTCCCCTTGTTCCTGGCCAGCACAACAGGACAAATCACAATCGCTCCCCTTATCCAAGTGCCTGCTCACCTATTCTTGTCCCCACCCCCCCCGCCTAGGGCACTCCACTCCCAGACAATGAACCTCTGTCCAGGCCAATCAGACTGCAAAAAATTACCATGCAACCCTCTGCTCAGCCACCCCCTCCAAACCATCATGGTCCCATGTGCCTGATCTCCTCCCATTATTCCTGGCCACCACAACAGGACAGACTTCGATCTCTCCTCCTGCCCAGATCCTGCCCCACCCCTGCCTAGACCACTCCACTCCCAGACAATGCACCTCTGTGCAGCCCAATTAGACTGCAAATAAATGACCGTGCGATACCAGGCTCAGTCACCCCCCTCCAAACCACTAAGGTCCCGTGTCCCTAATTTCCGTCCTGTGTCTCAGGCCACCATATGACACCAGTCTACAATCACTCACCCTAGCAGATTTCCTGCTCTTTTCTCCCTGTCCCCACCCCTGCCTACACTGCTCAGCCTCCGAGCAATGCACCTACTGAGCAAGCCTCTGCTCTGATACCCCCCTCCAAACCACTGCAGTGCCAAGTGCCCAATCTCCTTCCCTTGTCCCTGGCCACCACAACAGGACAGACTCCAATCGCTCAACCTACCCAAGTGTGCGCTCTCTTATCCCTGTCCCCACCCCCGCCTAGACCACCCCACTCCTAGGCAATGCATCTCTGTCCAGACCAACTAAAAATACTGTGCAACCCTCTGCTCCATCACCTTTCTTTAAGATACTAGGGGCCCAAGTGTCTAATCACCTTCTCTGGTCCCTGACCACCACAACAGGACAGACTCTGATCACTCACCTTACCCAAGTGCCTGCTCTCTTATCCTTTTCCCCACCCCCGCCTAGACCACTCCACTCCTAGGCAATGCACCTCTGTTCATACCAATCATACTGCAAAAAAATTACAGTGCAACCCCCTTCTCTTCCACCACTCACTGTGCCTGAATTCCTTTCTTTGTCCCTGGCCACCATAACAGGCTCTAATGAGTCCTCCTATCTAACCAAGTGCCTGATCTCCTTCCCCTGTCCCTGGCCACCATAACAGGTTCTAATGAGTCTTCCTATCTAACCAAGTGCCTGATCTCCTTCCCCTGTCCCTGGCCACCATAACAGGCTCTAATGAGTCCTCCTATCTAACCAAGTGCCTGATCTCCTTCCCCTGTCCCTGGCCACCATAACAGGCTCTAATGAGTCCTCCTATCTAACCAAGTGCCTGATCTCCTTCTGCTGTCCTTGGCCACCATAACAGGCTCTAATGAGTCCTCCTATCTAACCAAGTGCCTGTTCTCCAATCCCTGTCCCTGGCCACCATAACAGGCTCTAATGAGTCCTCCTATCTAACCAAGTGCCTGATCTCCTTCCCCTGGCCACCATAACAGGCTCTAATGAGTCCTCCTATCTAACCAAGTGCCTGATCTCCTTCCCCTGTCCCTGGCCACCATAACAGGCTCTAATGAGTCCTCCTATCTAACCAAGTGCCTGATCTCCTTCCCCTGGCCACCATAACAGGCTCTAATGAGTCCTCCTATCTAACCAAGTGCCTGATCTCCTTCCCCTGGCCACCATAACAGGATCTAATGAGTCCTCCTATCTAACCAAGTGCCTGATCTCCTTCCCCTGTCCCTGGCCACCAGAACAGGCTCTAATGAGTCCTCCTATCTAACCAAGTGCCTGATCTCCTTCCCCTGTCCCTGGCCACCAGAACAGGCTCTAATGAGTCCTCCTATCTAACCAAGTGCCTGATCTCCTTCCCCTGTCCCTGGCCACCAGAACAGGCTCTAATGAGTCCTCCTATCTAACCAAGTGCCTGATCTCCTTCCCCTGTCCCTGGCCACCAGAACAGGCTCTAATGAGTCCTCCTATATAACCAAGTGCCTGTTCTCCTTCCCCTGTCCTTGGCCACCAGAACAGGCTCTAATCCGTCCTTCTATCTAACCAAGTGCCTGTTCTTCAATTCCTGGCCCCTTCCCTCACCTAGGCAACTCCACTGTCATGGACCTCTACCAAGACTACTCCCGGCCAATACACCCGGCTCACACTGGGCAATAACGCCTTCCCCCACCACCACTGAGGTCCTCACCACTCCATCATCGGAAAGGACACTTTCTTGCTGGTAGTAGCTACTATAGTATATATAAAAGTTCCCGTGAATGCTTATGTCTTATAGTAGCCCCATGACTTGACGTCAATGGACACTGAGATTGGTCGGGTGGTGGTCATGTCGGCAGATCCTCGCATTTAGCAGTCATTTGAGGAAGGGATGTAGTTAGGCAAATGTAGGCTCATCTAGAACTGAAGAGAAGGGTAATACATACAGTGTATAGTTCACCTGAGAAGAATATTTCTCGTATCTAAGCATGGTGGCCATGCGATTCTATGGGTTTGGAGTATCACCCAACATATTCCCAGCTGATTGCTCCTCAATGTAGCTATAGAAGGCCTCTTTTGGATGTCAGACTTCCAAATCAGCTAATTTTGGCTTCCTATGAGCATTTTAAAGCTTTGGAGTATCCCCCAAAATACACCAAACTGATTGGTCCTCAATGTAGCTATAGAAGGCCTCTTTTGGATGTCAGTCCAAGCCGTCAAACTTCCAAATCAGTTAATTTTGGCTTCCTACGAGCATTCTATAGGTTAGGAGAAGCACCCAAAATACTCCCAGCTGATTGGTCCTCCATGTAGCTATAGAAGGCCTCTTTTGGATATCAGTCCAAACCGTCATACTTCCAAATCAGCTAATTTTTGGCTTCCTATGGGCATTCTATAGGTTAGGAGAATCACCCACAATACGCCCAACTGATTGGTCCTCAATGTAGCTATAGAAGGCCTCTTCTGGATGTCAGTCCAACCGTCAGACTTCCAAAAAATACTCCCAACTGATTCCATTATATTTCGGGTTCCTACGAGTATTCTATTGGTTTGAATTATTGGCCAAAATACACCCAACTGATTGGTCCTCCATGTAGCTATAGAAGGCCTCTTTTGGATCTCAGTCCAAGCCGTCAGACTTCTTCCAAATCAGTTAATTTCAGCTTCATATGAGCATTCTATAGGTTTGGAGTAGCACCCAAAATATTCCCAACTGATTGGTCCTCAATGTAGCTATAGAAGGCCTCTTTTGGATCTCAGTCCAAGCCGTCAGACTTCCAAATCAGTTAATTTCGGCTTCCTACGAGCATTCTATAGGTTTGGTGTGAGTATCAATCAACTGACTGGTCCTCAGTGTAGCTATAATAGGCCTCTTCTGGATATTGGTCCAAGCCGTCACACTTCCAACTTCCAAATCAGTTAACTTCGGCTTCCTACGAGCATTCACAGGTGGCCTCATGTGTGTCAGCATCCCCTGGAGGTCAATGTTCGGCACCGGTGGGTTAGGGCCAATGGGAATAGTGGTGGCTCCCGTCTTTATTCCCTCTCTTTGTGCCTTTACAGGAATTCTGTGCGTTTAGTGATCCGCAAGGTGCAGTATGCTCCAGAGAGACCGGGACCGCAGCCCATGGCCGAAACCACAAGACAGTTCCTGATGTCTGATAAACCCTTACATCTGGAGGCATCTTTGGATAAAGAGGTAACCTTCTAATCAATGGGTCACTCCCAGCTCAGGGATGGGTTGGGGCTTCCTGGAGACACCCAGGACTCTGTCCTCACCAAGAGCTCCTGTGATGACCATAGAGTCTGTCCTCAACCTTGGTACACCTAGATGGGTGACATCTGGAGACATCAAAGATATCTAAAACTGGGGGTAAGGAAAAAGTTTGAAATACCAGCCAAGGGTACCGTGGCCAGCAGAGGTCCACACAAAGATAGTCCAATGAAGGAATTGAGATAGTTTGGGCTTTCTTGAGAACCTGTCCTCACCGAGGACTCCTGTGATGGGAGTAGGACTTCCCTGTCCTGTGTTGTCTCTTGGTGTATCTCAGGGATGGGTGAGATCTGGAGAAACCAGCAACCCAGAATAAAAAGGCGTCCAAAAGGAGACCTAGAAAGGATGATCTGAAGCTGGACTTTCCAGTCCTTCAAGGGCTTCACACAGGATCTGGGATATAGTGAGAGGTCCGTGGTTCAAATGAGGTCGAGGAACCACATGGAGTGTTTAACACGCAACTTTATTTCGGTTGTTCTGACGAGAAGTCACAAAAAACATTGGTGTAGCTACAGGGGTCGCAGGGGTCGTAATTGCGACCCCCCCCATCCCCTCGCTCCAAGGGGGCCCATGCGGCTGGTAGAGAATGGCTGTCCGACCGAACTCCTCATACTCAGCCGAACTCCTCATACTCACCCGAACTTTACACTGGGAGCTTGGTGACTCGAGCGAATACACTCAGCAAAGTGAAAGCGAAGGAAAGGGGCGTGTCTTCCTCAGTGCTGGGCTCTCTGCCTCCCCCTACAGTGCAGTACCCGGCTTTGTGATCAAAGGTGCTACACTGCTGGTTTTTTTAAAAGGCTCTGCACACTGCAGAGCATTCCACCCATCCCATGACACTGCAGAGCATTCCACCCATCCCATGACACTGCAGAGCATTCCACCCATCCCATGACACTGCAGAGCATTCACCCATCCCATGATACTGCAGCATTCCACCCCATCCCATGACACTGCAGAGCATTCCACCCATCCCATGACTACTGCAGCATTCCACCCATCCCATGACACTGCAGAGCATTCCACCCATCCCATGACACTGCAGAGCATTCAACGCATCCCATGACACTGCAGAGCATTCCACCCATCCCATGATACTGCAGAGCATTCCACCCATCCCATGACACTGCAGAGCATTCCACCCATCCCATGACACTGCAGAGCATTCCACCCATCCCTATGACACTGCAGAGCATTCCACCTATCCCATGATACACTGCAGCGCATTACAACTATCCCATGACACACTGCAGAGCATTCCACCCATCCCATGATACACTGCAGAGCATTCCACCAATCCCATGACACTGCAGAGCATTCCACCCATCCTATGACACTGCAGAGCATTCCACCTATCCCATGACACTGCAGAGCATTCCACCCATCCCATGATACTGCAGAGCATTCCACCCATCCCATGACACTGCAGAGCATTCCACCCATCCCATGACACTGCAGAGCATTCAACGCATCCCATGACACTGCAGAGCATTCCACCCATCCCATGATACTGCAGCATTCCACCCATCCCATGACACTGCAGAGCATTCCACCCATCCCCTATGACACTGCAGAGCATTCCACCCATCCTATGACACTGCAGAGCATTCCACCCATCCTATGACACTGCAGAGCATTCCACCTATCCCATGATACACTGCAGCGCATTACAATTATCCTATGACACACTGCAGAGCATTCCACCCATCCCATGATACACTGCAGAGCATTCCACCAATCCCATGACAATGCAGAGCATTCCACCCATCCTATGACACTGCAGAGCATTCCACCTATCCCATGATACACTGCAGCGCATTACAACTATCCCATGACACACTGCAGAACATTCCACACATTCCATGACACTACAGAGTAATGCACCCATCCTATGACACTGCAGAGCATTCCACCTATCCCGATACACTGCAGAGCATTACAACTATCCCATGACACACTGCAGAGCATTCCACCCACCATACGACACTGCAGATAATTTCACTCATCCCATGACACACTGCAGAACATTCCACCTATCCCACAATACACTGCAAAGCATTTCACCCACCCCATGATACAATGCAGAGCATTACAACTATCTCATGACACACTGCAGAGCATTCCACCTATCCCATGATACACTGCAGAGCATTTTCTCCCATGCCATGACATTGCAGAGGACCCACCCATCCCATGATGCACTGCAGAACATTCCACATATCCCATGATACACTGCAGAGCATTCCACCCATCCCTTGATGCACTGCAGGTCATTCCACGTTACTGCAGAGCATTTCACCCAGTGGTAGGACTAGGCTCCTGCATTCTGCCACCATGGAGAGGAAGGGGGAGGGGGTGCAAGAAGATTAGAACGGGCCCCACAGAACATGTGAAAGTGTCCCTCTGTGAGACCATAATAAGGGCCCCACGATGAAAGTAATGAGCCCCAGTATCAAGGGCCCTGTGCTCCGAGGGAAGAGCCTGGGGACCAGAGGAAAGGGCCCCGGGACCAATGCGTCGGGGGGGGGGGGGGGCATTCATGGTTTCTTACACTGGGGGGCACCAGACTTACAGGGGTCACTGGGTGACACCAGTTGCTCAGGGTGCTCTGTAGATCCTGGGGTCACGGGATGACACAGGATACTCAGGGTGCTCTGTAGATCCTGGGGTCACGGGATGACACAGGATACTCAGGGTGCTCTGTAGATCATGGGGTCACGGGATGACACAGGATACTAAGGGTGCTCTGTAGATCCTGGGGTCACAGGATGACACAGGATACTCAGGGTGCTCTGTAGATCCTGGGGTCACGGGATGACACAGGATACTCAGGGTGCTCTGTAGATCCTGGGGTCACGGGATGACACAGGATACTCAGGGTGCTCTGTAGATCCTGGGGTCACGGGATGACACAGGATACTCAGGGTGCTCTGTAGATCATGGGGTCACGGATGACACAGGATACTAAGGGTGCTCTGTAGATCATGGGGTCACGGGATGACACAGGATACTCAGGGTGATCTGTAGATCCTGGGGTCACGGGATGGCACAGGATACTCAGGGTGCTCTGTAGATCCTGGGGTCATGGGATGACACAGGATACTCAGGGTGCTCTGTAGATCCTGGGGTCATGGGATGACACAGGATACTAAGGGTGCTCTGTAGATCCTGGGGTCACGGGATGACACAGGATACTCAGGGTGCTCTGTAGATCCTGAGGTCACGGGATGACACAGGATACTCAGGGTGCTCTGGTGTAACAAGGGTCGCAGGGGTCACAGGGTGAATCAGATTGTTCAGGATGCTCTAGAATCACAGGGGACACAGGGTGACACATGCTTTGGGGTGCCTTGGGGGTCACAGGATCCACAAAATAAAAGCAGATGCTCAGGGCGCCCTTGAGTCACAGGGGTTGCAGGGTGACAGGACGCTTAGGGTGCTCTGGAGTCGCAAGGATCGCAGGGGTCACAGGGTGAATCAGATTGTTCAGGATGCTCTACAATCACAGGGAACACAGGGTGACACAGAATTCTCTAGAATCACATGGTGACACACGGGTCTCAGGGGTGCTTTGGGGTCACAGCAGCCACAAAATAAAAATGGATGTTCAGGGGTCGAGATTGAGTCACAGGGGTTGCAGGGTGACACAGAATGCTCAGGGTGCTCTAGAGTCACAAGGGTCACAGTGGTCACAGGGTGACACACGAGTCTCAGGGGTGCTTTGGGGTCACAAGGGTCACAGCGGTCACAGGGTGACACACGAGTCTCAGGGGTGCTTTGGGGTCACAAGGGTCACAGCGGTCACAGGGTGACACACGAGTCTCAGGGGTGCTTTGGGGTCACAAGGGTCACAGCGGTCACAGGGTGACACACGATCTCAGGGTCTCAGGGGTGCTTTGGGGTCACAAGGGTCACAGCGGTCACAGGGTGACACACGAGTCTCAGGGGTGCTTTGGGGTTACAGGAGCCACAAAATAAAAATGGATGTTCAGGGCGAGATTGAGTCACAGGGATTGCAGGGGTGACACAGAATGCTCAGCGTGCTCTAGAGTCACAAGGGTCACAGCGGTCACAGGGTGACACACGAGTCTCAGGGGTGCTTTGGGGTCACAGCAGTCACAGGGTGACACACGAGTCTCAGGGGTACTTTGGGGTCACAAGGGTCACAGCGGTCACAGGGTGACACACGAGTCTCAGGGGTACTTTGGGGTCACAAGGGTCACAGCAGTCACAGGGTGACACACGAGTCTCAGGGGTACTTTGGGGTCACAAGGGTCACAGCGGTCACAGGGTGACACACGAGAGTCTCTCAGGGGTACTTTGGGGAGGTCACAAGGGTCACAGGGTGACACACGAGTCTCAGGGGTACTTTGGGGTCACAAGGGTCACAGGGTGACACACGAGTCTCAGGGGTGCTTTGGGAGTCACAGGAGCCACAAAAGTACAAAAAAGGGGAGGAGACTATTGTATACATTTGTTATTTGTAGCTTTCCCATGTATTGAGTGATTTCATCTTCTAGTGGCTGACACCCCCCTCTAGTGGTCACATACAATACTGCACATGCAATACATGGAGTCATCCTGAACCGGGAAGTATTGTATTCTGTATAGTGACCAGCTCTGTGGTCGGGACCCTCGGGACCGGAGGTATCAGGGACCGGGCAGTAATATATATATATATATGATGGGATCTGTGGTCGGGGTCCTCTGTATGGACCGGAGGTATCAGGGACCGGGCAGTAATATATATATATTGATGGGCTCTGTGGTCGGGGTCCTCTGTAGGGACCGGAGGTATCAGGGACCGGGCAGTAATATATATATATTGATGGGCTCTGTGGTCGGGACCCTCTGTATGGACCGGAGGTATCAGGGACCGGGCAGTAATATATATATATTGATGGGCTCTGTGGTCGGGACCCTCTGTATGGACCGGAGGTATCAGGGACCGGGCAGTAATATATATATATTGATGGGCTCTGTGGTCGGGACCCTCTGTAGGGACCGGAGGTATCAGGGACCGGGCAGTAATATACATATATTGATGGGCTCTGTGGTCGGGACCCTCTGTATGGACCAGAGGTATCAGGGACCGGGCAGTAATATATATATATTTGATGGGCTCTGTGGTCGGGACCCTCTGTAGGGACCGGAGGTATCAGGGACCGGGCAGTAATCTGTTGTTCCTCCTGCAGATCTATTACCACGGGGAGCCCATCAATGTCAATGTTCATGTGACCAACAACACCAACAAGACGGTGAAGAAGGTGAAGATCTCAGGTACTTCCGGGTTCCTTCTCTTTGACTCCTTGGGGGCGGTCTCCTCGGGGGGCAGTCTCCTCGGGGGCGGTGTTAAGATACAAAACGAAGAGAAGGGTCCAGAAATCTTTCCCTCCAAATCTCCCATCTCAGGAGACGTCATCATGGACCTGCTTCCATTGGTTTGTCTCTCCGTGCTCCTCCCCTTCATGCTTCTCCCCTCCTTGCCCCTCCCCTCCGTGCTCCCCCTCCTTGCCCCTCCTTTCCGTGCTCCCCCCTCCTTGCCCCTCCCCTCCATGCTCCTCCCTTCCGTGCTCCTCCCCTCCTTGTCCCCCCCCTCCGTGCTCCTCCTCTCCTTGTCCCTCCCCTTCGTGCTCCCCCTCCGTGCTCCTCCCCTCCGTGCTCCTCCCCTCCATGCTCCTCCCCTCCGATTGTCGATTGTCACTTTTGTATCGATAAAGATTGATGGTTAGTTGTTGAAAGAGCGGAGGGGCGCTTCTAAGTGGAGCAAGTTGGTGTTCGTTCTTCAACAAAGGGAAGCTGGCTCAGGGCCCCGGGGCCCAACCTGAGCCAGGGTGACAACCCGGGGGGGGTCCCAAATGGAAGGAGGTGTGCATGCTCCTAGGTGCCGACGCCTCTTTCTGAAGCCTACTCCCTCTCTCCTAATGACCGAGCCATACGTGGGCGGGCCTGAGAGAGAGGCGTTACCGTCTATTCTATTCTATTTGAAATTCAAATTTCAAAAGACGGCTATTTCCTTCCTATTCTGTTCTTTTATTTTCTATTCTGTTTTATTCTATTCTTTTCGAAATTTGATTGTCAGAGGAGGGCTGTATTCATTCTATTCTGTTTGGTTTTCTACTCCATTCTGTTTGGTTTTATTCTACTTTATTTCTTTTTTTTTTCTATTGTAGTTTTTTATTTTCTGTTCTGTTTTATTCTTTTTGAAATTCGAATCTCAAGAGACAGCTGTATTATTTTTATTCTTTCTATTCTATTCGGTTTCATTCTATTCTATTCTTTTCTCAATTTGAATTTTGAAAGACAGCTCTATTCTTTTTATTTTATTGTATTCTATTCAAATTTCGAAATTCGATTTTCGGAGGATGGCTGTATTCATTCTATTCTTTTTTTTTTTCCATTCCATTCCATTCTTTTCGGTTTCATTCTATTCTGTTGTTTTTTGCTCAATTCGATACGGTTTTTATTCTATTCTTTTTTTTCTATTTCATTCGATTGAGGTTCATTCTATTCTATTCTTTTATTTTTTACTCCATTCTGTTCGGTTTCATTCTATTCTATTCTTTTTTTTATTCCATTCTATTTGGTTTCATTCTCTTTTCTTTTTTTTCTATTCCATTCTATTCGGTTTTATTCTATTCTTTTTTTCTATTTCATTCTATTCACTGTCATTCTATTCATTTCTTTTCTCAATTTGAATTTCAAAAACAGCTCTATTCTTTCTATTTTATTGTATTCTATTCGAATTTTGAAATTCGATTTTTGGAGGATGGCTATATTCATTCTTTTTTTTTCTATTCCATTCTATTTGGTTTTATTCTATTCTTTTTTTCTATTTCATTTCTGTTCGGTTTCATTGTATTCTATTCTTTTTTTTCTACTCCATTCTATTTGGTTTCATTCTATTCTTTTTTTCCTATTCTTTTCTTTTCTCAATTTGAATTTTGAAAGACAGCTCTATTCTTTCTATTTTATTTTACTGTATTCTATTCAAATTTCAAAATTCGATTATCGGAGGATGGTTATATTCATGCTACTCTATTCTTTTATTTTCTACTCCATTCTATTCGGTTTCATTCTATTCTATTTTTCATGTTATCATTCGTTATTTCGGACGAAGTTTTGTTTCCTTCCGTCAGATTTGATGATGTTCCTTACTGTTGTCATTCGGAATTTCGGATCCATCCATATCTCCAAAAAAGTGAACATTTGTCCCCAGTGTGGGGCGGGAAGCGCAGCGCACTGGTCTGGTTTGCACCATAAACGCATGTTATTTCCAGCAGACTGATGTGTGTTCTCCTTGCAGTGCGACAATACGCCGACATCTGCCTCTTCAACACCGCGCAGTACAAGTGTCCCGTCGCCGTGGAGGAAGCAGAGTGAGTATTGTACCCGCAGCTTCACTTCAGAGAGGTCCCCGCGCAGTGAGGGGCCCCTTCACACGACATGCGTTTCTGTTGCTTTTTTTCTGCATCCAAAACGCACAGAAAGTCAGTGATCAATGGTTGTCGGTGTCACCGTTCACATCGGGGCGCGCAGTTCCGGCGCGTTCCGGATGCAGAAAGAAAAGTAGAACAGGCGGCATTTTTTCTGTAGAGAACTGGACTGGTAAACGCATCAAAAACGCACGGAACGCACCAAAAACGCACACGGTCCTATTTAAATTGAAGAAAAGGAGAGAGAGGGGGAAAAAATTTACCCAGAATGCATAAAAAATTTCACCAGAACGCGCAAAAATGTATCCGGAACGCAACAAAACGCACCAAAAATGCACACGTCACTATTTAAATGGAAGAAAAAGAGAAAAAATGAACCGGACTGCATAAAAAAACGCACTGGAACGCATAAAAGACGCACTGGAACGCGCAAAAAACATGCATGCAAAAAATGCATCCAAAAGGCTACAAAACGCATAAAAAATACACTGCAGCGCACATGTACCTATCTAAATTGAAGAAAAAGGAGAGGGGGGGGGAAATGAACCGGAACGCATCAAAAATGCATCCAGAACATATCTGGGCTGAAGAAAAAGGAAGGGGAAAAAATGAACCGGAATGCATAAAAAACGCATTGGAATGCGTCAAAAATGCATAAAAAAATGCACCAGGATGGGCAAAAAAATGCATCCGGAATGCAACAAAGCGCACCAAAAACGCACTCTGACGCACATGTTCCTATTTAAATTGAAGAAAAAGAGAGAGAGGGGAAAAAATGAACCGTAATGCATAAAAAAACGCATTGGAACGCATCAAAATGCATTAAAACACACCAGAACACGCAAAAAAAAAAAAAAAAAGCATATGTAAAAACACATCCAGAATGCAACAAAACGCATCAAAAACGCACTGGAGCGCACGTCTCCCTATTTAAATTGAAGAAAAAGAGTGGGGGGGGGGGAATTAACTGGAATGCATAAAAAAAAACGCACCAAAAACACGCCTGCAAAAAATGCACCGGGAGCGCACGTGGACTGCGTATCTATAGTGAGCGCCGGCCCTCAGTCCAGGTTCACGCCAATGCAGGTTGTGTTGGAGCCGCGTCTGCACTGCATTTTGCACCTGCGTTTTTTTTACGTGTTTTTACTGCGTTTTGCGTTTTTTTTGGGTTCCTTAAAAAGCAAAAACACATCAAAAACACATTCCGTTTCATCCCCCCTCCCCCCCCCGTTTCTTCAATATAAATTGTGATGCGTTTTTGATGCGTTTTTTTGTGCGTTCCGGTACAGTTCTGTGCAGGAAAAATGCCGCCCGTTCTACTTTTTCGTTTTCTGCACCCGGAACGCACCGGAACGGCAAGCGGTGATGGGAAACGACGACACCGACCACCAGATCACCCACTTTCTGTGCGTTTTGGATGCAGAAAAAAAAAAAAACGCATGGAGTGTGAAGGAGCCCTAAAGGGAGATTCCTTGGAGGGGAGTAAAGAGGAAATATCTGAGGGGGAGGGGTCTATTTATAAAACACTGGAGGGATCCCTCGGGGGCGGGGCTTGGAACTATAAATCTGTGTCTGTGATATTGGGGGATCAGCCGCAGGGGGCGGGGCTTGGTGTTATAAATCTGTGTGTGTGATATTGGGGGATCAGCCGTAGGGGGCGGGGCTTGGCGTTATAAATCTGTGTCTGTGATATTGGGGGATCAGCCGTAGGGGGCGGGGCTTGGCGTTATAAATCTGTGTCTGTGATATTGGGGGATCAGCCGCGGGGGGCGGGGCTTGAGCTATAAATCTGTGTCTGTGATATTGGGGGGTCAGCCGTGGGGGGCGGGGCTTGGTGTTTCATAAATCTGTGTCTGTGATATTGGGGGGTCAGCCACGGGGGCGGGGCTTGGTGTTATAAATCTGTGTCTGTGATATTGGGGGGTCAGCCGTGGGGGCGGGGCTTGGTGTTATAAATCTGTGTCTGTGATATTGGGGGGTCAGCCGCGGGGGGGCGGGGCTTGGCGTTATAAATCTGTGTCTGTGATATTGGGGGATCAGCCGCAGGGGGCGAGGCTTGGCCTTATAAATCTGTGTCTGTGATATGGGGGGATCAGCCGCAGGGGGCGGGGGGGCTTGGCGTTATAAATCTGTGTCTGTGATATGGGGGGATCAGCCGCAGGGGGCGGGGCTGGCGTTTAAATCTGTGTCTGTGATATGGGGGGATCAGCCGCAGGGGGCGGGGCTTGGCGTTATAAATCTGTGTCTGTGATATTGGGGGATCAGCCGCATGGGGGCGGGGCTTGGAGCTATAAATCTGTGTCTGTGATATGGGGGGATCAGCTGCAGGGGGCGGGGCTTGGTGTTATAAATCTGTGTCTGTGATATTGGGGGATCAGCCGCATGGGGGGGGGGCTTGGTGTTATAAATCTGTGTCTGTGATATTGGGGGATCAGCCGCAGGGGGCGGGGCTTGGCGTTTTAAATCTGTGTCTGTGATATTGGGGGATCAGCCGCAGGGGGCAGGGCTTGGAGCTATAAATCTGTGTCTGTGATATGGGGGGATCAGCCGCAGGGGGCGGGGCTTGGCGTTATAAATCTGTGTCTGTGATATGGGGGGATCAGCCGCAGGGGGCGGGGCTTGGTGTTATAAATCTGTGTCTGTGATATTGGGGGGTCAGCCGCGGGGGTCGGGGCTTTGGTGTTATAAAAAACTGTGTCTGTGATATGGGGGGATCAGCCGCAGGGGGCGGGGCTTGGCAATATAAATCTGTGTCTGTGATATGGGGGGATCAGCCGCAGGGGGCGGGGCTTGGTGTTATAAATCTGTGTCTGTGATATGGGGGGGATCAGCCGCAGGGGGCGGGGCTTGGTGTTATAAATCTGTGTCTGTGATATTGGGGGATCAGCTGCAGGGGGCGGGGCTTGGAGCTATAAATCTGTGTCTGTGATATGGGGGGATCAGCCGCAGGGGGCGGGCTGACGGTAGGACCGTTGATGACTGACCTCCTGCCGTTGTGTCCCCAGCAATGACGTTGTGGCCCCCAGCTCCACCTTCTGTAAGGTCTACACACTGACTCCCTTCCTGGCCAACAACCGGGAGAAGCGAGGATTGGCCCTGGACGGCAAACTCAAGCATGAAGACACCAACCTGGCCTCCAGCACGCTGTAAGACCCGCCCACCATGACACATACCCCTCTCCCCCCATGTCTGCCCCATGACACCCCCCTCTGGAAGCTCGGAAGCTTGAAAATTCTTTTTAAACTTTGTATATTTGAACCAGTTGTGGGCTCCGAGCGTGCTACACACTCCCCCCCCCCCCCCTCCCCCCAAAAAAAAATATCTGATAAGCCTTTAATTAGGGGTAATAAAGAGATAATAAAATACTAAGGATTAATAGGGCATTTTTATTTGATAGAAACTTACATAGAGGACTAAGAGTATGATAAGGCCCCTGCGATTCTGCAAGTAAAAAACTTTCCATCAAAATTTGACATTCAATTGCAGGGAGCCTTTTTATTTCTGAGGACAAAAACTGAAATCCCATTTACTAAGGTTTGTAAAAGAATGTAAGTTGTATATCGCAAAAAGAAATTAAAATTTTTAAAAAATAAGGAAAAAGATTCAGAAGAGCCGTGTTAATATTTGATACAAAGCTTTTGTCTATATTTACAGAGGTCAGAGGTTAATAAGGCCTTGGACAGGGATTTAGCACTGCAACAATTAATTTTGGCCGAAAAATTCAGCTACAACCTTTTCCTCTAGATTTGTCAGTGACAAATTAAACTGTAAATCCCAGCTCTCTTCCTGGCATTGAAATAGGGATATCCTTAAAAAAAAAGTTAAAAACTGATTCCTCACCTTTTTCTCATTGGTAACCCCACGAGGTTATAGTTTACTATGGAGCCCCATCCGAGGGAGTTAAATAGGGAAAGTCGTCTTTAAAAACAAAAAAATAAAATTCCATTCTCATAGCCTTTTTATTTGGTAACAACAGTTGATCTAGTTTACTAAGAGTTAATAATGCATTAAATAGGGATATATTATATAGCCTTGTGGATATATATAATTTTTAAATTGGTGTCTTTTGACAGCTCTTTTTATTTGGTAAAATGGTAGTAGTTGGTGTCTGACTGACTGTGGGCTGGACAGGGTCTTTAAAGAGGTCAGAAGGTGATATAATGCAGGAAATAGAATTAAAATTTTAAAAAATTCAGCTGAACCTTTTTTATTTGGTAAAAACAAATTATAGTTAAATCAAGGGTTACATAACGGTAAAAAATAGGGATATATTATCCCGTCTAAAATTAAAAACAATTCCCTTCATGAGAGCCTTTTTATTTGACACAACGGATTATAGTTTACTAAGAGTTAATAAGGCGTTAACATTGGGATATTTGTATATTAAAAAAATGAAAAAAATTCTGCTATGAGCCTGTTTATTTGGTAACAAATGGATTATAGTTTAAAAGGGTTCATTAGGCGTTAAATAAGGGATATAAAAAAAAGAAAAAAAAAGCTCAGCTAATAGGGACCTTTTTTTGGTACTGGACGGATTATAGTTTACTAAGGGTTAATAAGGCGTTCTTAGAGATATATAGAAAATCTTCCTCTTTTTCATCCTCTTCTTCATCCTCTTCTTCTTCATCAATCCTCTTCTTTTTCTTCTTCTTCTTAAAAAATTCAGCTAATTTGGTCCTCTTTATCATCTCTTTTCTTCCTCTATATATAAAAAAAAAAAAAATCAAAAAAAAATTCATGAGCCTTTTTATTTGGTCAACAACGGATTAATAGTTTCTAAGGCTTACTAAGGCGTTCAATAGAGATATATAGAAAAAAAATTCTTAAAAAATTCAGCAATGAGTCTTTTTATTTTCATAACGGAATATAGTTTACTTCTTCATAAGGCTTAAATTCTTCCTCTTCTATAGGAAAACAATTAAAATTTCTTCATCCTCAGCTTCTGAGCCTTTTTTCATCCTTTCTTCAAAATCAAATTTTAGTTAAATAAGGGTTCATAAGGCAATAAATAGGGATCTATTATCAAAAAAAATTCAAAACAATTCGTTCATGAGCCTGTTTCTTTCCTCTTCTTGATCAACGGATTATAGTTTCTAAGGGTTCATCCTCTTAAATAGGGATCTTAAAAAAAGAAAAAAAAAATCTTCTTCTTCTTCATCCTCTTCTTCTTTCTTCCTCTTCTAAAAACTTTTTGTCTTAATTTACTAAGGTTAATAAGGCATTAAATAGATTTTTTTAGATCGAAAAAAAAAAAAATTTTCCGATTTGCTTTCATTGAGCCTTTTTAATTGGTGACAACGGATTTTTTTTACTAAGGGTTAATAAGGTGTAAAAAGGGATATATAGAAAAAACATTTTTTTAATTCGGCTATGAACCCTTTTATTTGACTAACGATAAAAATCTTATTTTATAAAAATCTACTAAGGGTTCATAAGGCGTTAGATGGGAATATGGAAAAGAAAAAAACTTTTTAAATTTAAAACGCATTTCAAATGAAGGTCTTTGATTTGGGTTTCTTGCTGCTTACTCAGGGGTTCAATAAGGCGTTACATAGGGAGACAAAACAAAAAAAAAAATCATACAATGTGATCTCCTGAATTCTGTCCTCTGAGTGGGAATCCCCTGCAATGTGAATGTCAGACCCTCCATGATGATGAGAAGTGGGAGAACTTGCAAAATCGCAGGGGGTTCAAATACTTCTGTTCCTCACTTTATATATAAAAAATAAATAAATATAAATTCTCCTATGAGCCTTTTTATTTGGTAAAAATTTTTTTCTGATTATAGCTCACTAAGGGTTCATAAGGCGTTACATAGGGATACAAAAAAAAACAAAACTTTTTCTGCTAGGAGCCTGTTTATTTGGTAAAAAAAACTATTATTATTATTTTTTTATTTCTATTTTTAACATTAAAATATTTAATTTTTTTTTTTTCACTTTAATTAATATTTTTTTTTTGCTCCGTGTTGCTTAAAAAAAAAAAAATAAATATAAAAGGATTTTTTTTTTTTAATAACTTTGAAATGCCTTGTACCATCAATGTAATTTCGATGTCACAAATGCTTTAGACATCTGATCTGCTCGGCGGTTTCATTTTTATTCATGTCATGGTGTTTTTGGGTAAAGTCTACCTGTCATCCTTCTATGGCGTCCAACTCACCGGCCACTTTATTAGGACCACCTTGCTAGTCCCGGGTTGGAACCCCTTTTGCCTTCATTCTTCGTCGTGGCATAGATCCAGCAAGGTGGTGGAAATGTTCCTCAGAGATTTTGGTCCATATAGACATGAGTTCTTGTTGCCTTTCTGTCATCTCCAACCAGTCTGCCCATTCTCCTCCAACTTCTGACCCCAACGAGGCATTGTCCTCCACACAACTGCCACTCACTTAATATTTTCTCTTTTTGGACCATTTTCTGTAAACCCGAGAGATGGTTGTGCGGGAAAATCCCAGTAGATCGGTAGTTTATGAAATCCTCAGACCAGCCCGTCTGGTGCCAACAACCATCCCAGGTTCAGAGTCACATAAATCCTTTTTCTTCCCCCTTCTGATGCTCGGTTTGAACCTCAGCAAGTCCTCCTCACCACGTCTAGATGCCTAAATGCAGTGGGTTGCTGCCACGTGATTGGTTGATTAGCAATGTGTGTTACCGAGCAATTGAATGGGTGGACCTGACAAAGTGGCCGGTGAGGGTATGGTCCCGGGGAATCTGCCTGGAGTGTTATTAAGGGGTTTATATCTTCTTGTGCCGCAGACTGAGAGATGGTGCCAACAAGGAGATCCTCGGAATCATCGTCTCCTATAAAGTCAAAGTGAAGCTGGTCGTCTCTCGGGGAGGGTGAGTTCTCAACGTTTTTTTAAATTTTACACCAAACATCTTATAGCAGGGGGTGTGGGGTATTCTCATTGTATGCCAGGTCAAAGTAAACGTAAAAGTCCTCCCCCTTCTATTGATGACATCAACCGTCCCTACAACTCCCCTTGGCCAAGGTTGCTAGCCAAGACCAAAACCTTGGAGGACATTGTTCTTTCCTTTACCCTCTTCCTCTATGTGAGGGATGGGGAAACTGAGTCAATTTTTACTTAAGATGGAGAAGGTCTTTCAGGTGAAAGTCCACCATGGCTGACACTTGTAGCTCCAGAGCTGAAGGGCCACCTCAAGAACTGAAGGGCCACCTCAAGTATTCTCATTGTGTATGCCAGATCAAAGAAAAGGTAATAGTCCTCCCCCTTCTATTGATGACATCGACCGTCCCTACAACTCCCCTTGACCAAGGTTGCTTGCCAAAACCAAAACCTTGGAGGACATTGTTCTTTCCTTTACCCTCTTCTTCAAAGTGAGGGATGGGGAAACTGAGTCATTTTTACTTAGGATGGAGAAGGTCTTTCAGGTGAAGGTCCACAATGGCTGACATTGGTAGCTCTAGAGCTGAAGGGCCACCTCAAGTATTCTCATTGTGTATGCCAGATCAAAGAAAAAGTAATAGTCTTCCCCCTTCTATTGATAGCATCGGCCGTCCCTACACTCCCCTTGGCCAAGGTTGCTTACCAAAACCCTGGAGGACATTGTCCTTTCCTTTACCTTCTTCTTCAACATGAGGGATGGGAAAACTGAGTCTATTTTTACTTAGGATGGAGAAGGTCTTTCAGGTGAAGGTCCACCATGGCTGACACTTCTAGCTCCAGAGTTGAAGGGCCACCTCAAGAACTGAAGGAGCACCTCAAGAACTGAAGGGTTACCTCAAGAACTGAATGGCCACCTCAAGAACTGAAGGGCCATCTCAAGACCTGAAAGGCCACCACAAGTATTCTCATTGTGTATGCCAGATCAAAGTAAACGTAATAGTCTTCCCCCTTCTATTGATGGCATCGGCCGTCCCTACAACTCCCCTTGGCCAAGGTTGCTTGCCAGAACCAAAACCTTGGAAGATATTGTTTTTTCCTTTACCCTTTTCCTCTACATGAGAGATGGGGAAACTGAGTCAATTTTCACTTAAGATGGAGAAGGTCTTTCAGGTGAAGGTCCACCATGGCTGACACTTGTAGCTCCAGAGGTGAAGGGTCACCTCAAGAACTGAAGGAGCACCTCAAGAACTGAAGGGCCGCCTCAAGTATTCTCATTGTGTATGCCAGGTCAAAGTAAACGTAAAAGTCTTCCCCTTCTATTGATGACATTGACCGTCCCTACAACTCCCCTTGGCCAAGGTTGCTTGCCAAAACCAAAACCTTGGAAGACATTGTTCTTTCCTTTACCCTCTTCTTCAATGTGAGGGATGGGGAAACTGAGTCAATTTTCACTTAAGATGGAGAAGGTCTTTCAGGTGAAGGTCCACCATGTCTGACACTTGTAGCACCAGAGCTGAAGGGCCACCTCAAGAACTGAAAGGCCACCTCAAGTATTCTCATTGCGTATGCCAGATCAAAGTAAACATAATAGTCTTCCCCCTTCTATTGATGATATTGACCGTCCCTACAACTCCCCTTGGCCAGGTTGCTAGCCAAAACCAAAACATTGGAGGACATTGTTCTTTCCTTTACCCTCTTCCTCTACGTGAGGGATGGGGAAACTCAGTCAATTTTTACTGAAGATGGAGAAGGTCTTTCAGGTGAAGGTCCACCATGTCTGACACTTGTAGCTCTAGAGCTGAAGGGCCATCTCAAGAACTTTCAAGACTTTACAAAACCTCCAATTGCTCAACTCCTTTTCTCAGATGGATAATGGATATTGGAAAGACGGAAATCACAGACGCAAAAAAAGATGAGTCAGAGCAGAGCGGAACAAGCTGTGCTCGACATTTCGCCTGTCCACGCTGCTCCATCCTCGGTTCTTTTTAGAGAATCGCTTGATAAGTTCATCCAAAACATCCCAGGTCATTATTTGCCACGAAGAGAACATAGCAGCCTTTAACCTTGCTGGAAAAGAAGTCCACAGTCACTATTTTTGCCATTTTGGCCTTTTAGATCCAAAGACATACAGGATATTTTTAGATTTTGAAGCATAAGAAATACTATCTGTGAAGGTTCTCATGTATCCAGGTCATGAGATATCTAGTAGTAATTGGTTGCATTCAACTGGACCTGTGCTAGAATGCTGAAGATGTTTTGTAAATGATCCAAGACACTGCTTCAGTTCGAGTGAGTATTAGGAAAATGCTCCAACATTTATATCCACACAGAAAAAACTGCATCGAATCACTTGGACTATGTAGATGTTGATTGTCCAAAAACAGGATGGGAGGTGTAAAAATTGAGGAACCGCCAAGTTCTAGTTACGCTGTCCCATCTTTGGTGTTAGGAAGTGTGACGGAGGGTAAGCGGGTCAGAACACACAAGGCAGGCGGCAAACACTTAAAGCTTTATTAAAACAGACAACAGTCACTCAATGGAGAGTAGTGAAGGGAGAAAGAGTCCAAAATAATTCTAGTCCAGCCCCAAGGCAAAGTTAAAGTCTCTTCAGCAGTTAATAATCCAAACAGGGGGGTGGTGTGGGAGTACAAGAACAGTTCAGGGAAAACAGGAGAACATAAACTCACAGGTCCAACAGGGATGTCCTGGTTCACAGCAGACGGCAGCAGCGGCAACCCTGCTCAGCACACCGCAACAGCAGATAGTTCTAGCACACAGCCGAGGGGCAGTTGAGGCAAAGAGAGCCCGGGCACAGCAGAGGGCAATTCAGGCAGGCAAAGTAATCAGGGCCCACAGCAGAAGGTAGCTCTGGCAGGCAGGAGGTCCGGGCACACAGCAGAGGGCAGTTCACAGGGTAGCGATCCAGGGACTCACCAGCCAGCAGTGTACAAATCAAAGTACAGTTCCAAGCATCTCCTAGTTAAGGCTCATGCAGGAGTAGCCCTGTCCATCATGACTCCAGCTCTCCCAACAAAGAGTCCACATGGCCCAGCAATTGTCCCCACCCCCAACTTCCTGCTAAGAAGTGGCCAGGACTGGTTTTCCCTAGCCACACAGAGCCATGCTGCCTTTGTTCTGTATGGAGATACATCCCATTTCCCCTCCCACCTGTGAGGCCCAGGAACTTCAGACAACACACAAAAAAAAAAAATATTTCTGCTGTCTGTCACAGGAAGGCTTCATAAATGTTAATCCTTCAACTTACATGGCTGGAGGTGTATGTTGTTGTCAAAACACCGGCATTATATGTAGAAGACAAATGGTGTGAAGGCCCCGCACCTCTATTCAATAATCATTGTTCCATTTTGACGTAGGTGGCCTCTTTCATGCCTCTTGTGCACCAAAAACTCCATGGTAGAGATGGTAAAACAGCATTATATGTAGAAGACAGATGGTGTTGAAGGCCCCTCACCCCTTTTTAATGATCGTTGTTCCACTTTGACCTAGATGGCCTCTATCATGCCTCTGACGAGCCAAAACCCCATGGTAGAAATGGTTGAAAACAGCATTATATGTAGAAGACAGATGGTGTTGAAGGCCCCACACCCCTCTTCAATGATCATTTTTCCAGTTTGACGTAGATGGTCTCTTTCACGCCTCTCAAGAACCAAAACCCTATGGTAGAGATGGTAAAACAGCAATATATGTAGAAGACAGATGGTGTTGAAGGCCCCTCACCGCTCTTCAATGATCGTTGTTCCAGTTTGACATAGATGGCCTCTTTCATGCCTCTTGAGAACCAAAACCCCATGTAAAACAGCAATATATGTAGAAGACAGATGGTGTTGAAGGCCTCCACCCCTCTTTAATGATCATTGTTCCAGTTTCACGTAGATGGTCTCTTTCACAATTCTCAAAAACCAAAACCCCATGGTACAGAAGGAAAAACAACATTATATGTAGAAGACAGAGGTGTTGAAGGCCTCCCACCCCTCTTCAATGATCATTTGATATAGATGGCTTCCTTCATGCCTCTAGAGAACCAAAACCCCATGGTAGAGATGGTAAAACATCCAGCATTATATGTTGAAAACAGATGGTGTTGAAGGCCCCTCACCCATCTTCAAGGATCATTGTTCCAGTTTCATGTAGATGGTCTCTTTCACGCCTCTCAAGAACCAAAACCCTATGGTAGAGATGGTAACACAGCAATATATGTAGAAGACAGATGGTGTTGAAGGCCCCACACTCCTTTCTAATGATCGTTGTTCCAGTTTGACCTATATGGCCTCTATCATGCCTCTTTCAAAACAAAATCCCATGGTAGAGATGGTAAAACAGCAATATATGATGAAGACAGATTGTGTTGAAGGCCCAACACCCCTTTTTATTGATTGTTGATCTGGTTTGATGTAGATGGCCTCTTCCACGCCTCTTGTGTACCAAAACCCCATGGTAGAGATGGTAAATTAGCATTATATGTAGAAGACAGATGGTGTTGAAGGCCCCATCCATCTTCAATGATCGCTGTTCCAATTTGTAGATGGTCTCTTTCATGCCTCTTGACAACCAAAACCCCATGGTAGAGATAGTAAAACCACATTATCTGTAAAAGACAGATGACGTTGAAGGCCCCACACCCCTTTTTAATGATCGTTCTTCCAGTTTGACGTAGATGGCCTATTTCACGTCTCCTGTGAACCATTTGCCCAAAATGTGCACCTCAATGCCCTCGAAAGAATTACCCTTTTCCTTAGGATTTCAATGATGGGGCATCTTCCTGGAACTCACGAGTGGCTTGAAGAAGTTATGGAAAACCTTCCAACATTACAGAATACAAGTCCAGTTGAATGTGACTTACTACTGCTAAACTTACGTACTACCGATCTCACTGAATCTGCACGTAGGTGGCCTCTGTTAGCCCACGTAGTTTGGTTTTGTGCAAAATGAAGAAAATGAATACTTGGGTTTTTATAAGTGACCAAACCACCTGGGGCAGGAAATAAAAGTCTACACTGTCGTAGTCAATGGAAACACGTATAATGTGGCAGAACGAGGCACTTCTGATGGGGTTTCAGAAAAGCAGGTCAACGACAACCATTTCCCATGTCCTGTCCCTTTGATCCCCGTGGTTCAGAGGTGGTCTCCTTAGGGGTTTCACGGGCTCAAGGGTGGTCTCTATAGGGGCTTCAAGGACTCAAAGGTGGTCTCCTTTGGGGCTTCAATGGATCAAAGGTGGTCTCTTTAGGGGCTTGAAGGGCTCAAAGGTGGTCTCTTTAGGGGCTTCAAGTGGGGTTTGGAATTCATATGGGGATACAAAAGCCACTTCTGGTCGAGAAGGGTTTGCCTTCCTCTGGATCAACCACGGTTTTAAGATTTTTTTTGGTTTGACTTTTTTCAACCCCCTTCCTGTCCCTTTGACACCCGTTCAAGATGTTCTAAAAATGTGTCCTGTTGGTGAGATTTCCCATCACTTCCATTCCTGATAGGAAGGGATGGTGAGTCTCAACAATCCTGGGGCATGGTCTGAAATTTGAACTCGACAGAGGCCCCCGACCTTTGTTCGATTCATCCTTCAAAAATGAGGTTGAAGTCTTGGTCGAACTTTGGTGCCTCTCCATTATATTGTGACTATTGTCCTGTACATAGTGTGTGCCGTAAAGACTGTATAACATACTTCTGTCTCTTGCCATTTTAATGTGATTTGTTCCGGGAGGTGGCGCAATGAGCCGTTTGTTGAACGCACGCGCTTTCCACTTGACTAATTCTCTCATCTGCTTTGAACACTGCCAGCCTTTTGGGAGACCTGGCGTCAAGGTAATGCCTACGATTTGCTCGCCCCTTGACCATGCATCAACTGCCCCGTGCATCTGTCTTGTTACGTTCCATCTGTCCCCATGGAGCAATGTCTGAAGGTCACCTGTTCCGTGCTCGCTCCAATGTCTTGAAGGGCCTGTTGCATGCACAAAACTTCCGTTCCATCTTCTGACAACCCCACATCCCTCCATTTCACACATCGCTGTCTCCGACTGTGATTTTCACTTTTACTGAAAGACACAACGTTTGTATTTTCCATTACCGGATTTCAGGGAAAGTTTTACTTGGATTTGCTTTCTGGTATAAATGCAACGGGAACACTCATCTAAAGCCATGATTTCATTTCGGGTGGAAGGAAATGAGAAGATTATGTGTGTGGAGTAGGAAGTAGGGACAACAGCACCTCGCCAGAATGCTGAGGTCCTAAAGTATTTATTCTAATAAAAGGTTCAAGAGATCTCAGCATATTCAAGGGTGCTTCAAGCGCTCGGAGGTGGTCTCCTTAGGGGCTTCAAGGGCTCAAAGATGGTCTATTTAGGGGCTTCCAGGGCTTAAAGGTGGTCTCCTTAGGGGCTTCAAGGGCTCAGAGGTGGTCTCCATAGGGGTTTCAATGGCTCAAAGGTGGTCTCATTAGGGGCTTCAAGGGCTCAGAGGTGGTCTCATTAGGGGCTTCAAGGACTCAAAGGTGGTCTCCTTAGGGGCTTCAAGGGCTTCAAAAGTGGTCTCCTTAGGGGCTTCAAGGGCTCAAGGTGGTCTCCTTAGGGGCTTCAAGGGCTCAAAGGTGATCTCCTTAGCGGCTTCAAGGGCTCAAAGGTGATCTCCTTAGGAGCTTCAACGGCTCAAAGGTGCTCCCTTCATTACAGATTGATCTATAGGTGGAATAATAAAAGATGTACTCCAAATGTTGGCCAATTGTAAGAGAGAAGAGCAAAATTATTGTATTGGGTAGAGGGAAATGAGAAGATTATGTGTGTGGAGTAGGAGGTAAGGACAACAGCGCCACAAAAGAATGTTGAGGTCCTAAAGTATTTATTCTAATAAAAGGTTCAAGTGATGTCGGCATATTCAAGGGTGCTTCAAGGGCTCAGAGGTGGTTTCCTTAGGGGCTTCAAGGACTCAAAGGTGGTCTCCATAGGGGCTTCAAGGGCTCAGAGGTGGTCTCCAGAGGGGCTTCAAGGGCTCAAAGGTGGTCTCTTTAGGGGCTTCAAGGGCTCAAAGGTGCTCCCTTCATTAGGGATTGATTGATCTATAGGTGGAATAATAAAAGATGGACTCCAAATGTTGGCCAATTGTAAGAGAGAAGAGGAAAATGATTGTATTGGGTAGAGGGTAATGAGAAGATTATTGTGTTTGGAGTAGGAAGTAAGGACAACAGCACCTCACCAGAATGTTGAGGTCCTAAAGTATTTATTCTAATAAAAGGTTCTAGCGATCTCAGCATATTCAAGCAGGGCTTCAAGGGCTCAGGCTGGTCAAGGGGCTTCAAAGGCTCAGAGGTGGTCTCCTTAGGGGCTTCAAGGGCTCAAAGTTCCTTAGGGGCTTCAAAAGGCTCAAGGTCTCAAGGGTGGTCTATTTAGGGGCTTGAAGGGCTCAAAGGTGGTCTTGCTTAGGGGCTTCAATGGCTCAAAGGTGCTCCCTTCATTATGGATTGATCTATAGGTGGAATAATACAAGATGGACTCCAAATAGGGTAGAGGGAAATGCTCAATTGTAAGGGCTCAAAGGTGGTCTGTTTTAGGGGCTTCAACAGCTCAAAGAGATCTATAGGTGGAATAAAAAAAAGATGGACTCAAAATGTTGGCTAATTGTAAGAGAGAAGAGGAAAATCATTGTATTGGTAGAGGGAAATGATTATGTGCATGGAGGCTCAAAGGTGGTCTCCTTAGGGGCTTCAAGGGCTCAAAAAGGTGGTGGTCTCCTTAGGGGCTTCAAGGGCTCTCAGAATGGAGGTGGTCTCCTTAGGGGCTTCAAGGGCTCAAAGGTGATCTCTTTAGGGGCTTAGGGCTCACAGGTGGTTTCTTCAAGGATTCAAAAGGGTCTCAAAGGTTCAGAGGTGGTCCCTTCTTCATTGATCTCCTTAGGGGCTTCAACGGCTGAAAGGTTCTCCCTTCATTACGGATTGATCTATAGGTGGAATAATAAAAGATGGACTCCAAATGTTGGCCAATTGTAAGAGAGAAGAGCAAAATTATTGTATTGGGTAGAGGGAAATGAGAAGATTATGTGTTTGGAGTAGGAAGTAAGGACAACAGCACCACGCCATAATGCTGAGGTCCTAAAGTATTTATTCTAATAAAAGGTTCAAGCGATGTTGGCATATTCAAGGATGCTTCAAGGACTCAGAGGTGGTCTCCTTAGGGGCTTCAAGGGCTCAAGGGTGATCTCTTTAGGGGCTTCAAGGGCTCAAAGGTGTTTTCCTTAGGGGCTTCAATGCCTCAAAGATGGTCTCTTTAGGGGCTTCAAAGGCTCAAAGGTGGTCTCCTTAGGTGCTTCAAGGGCTCAAGTGTGGTCTCCTTGGGGGCTTCAATGGCTCAAGGGTGGTCTCTTTAGGGACTTAAAGGGCTCAAAGGTGGTCTCCTTAGGGGCTTCAATGGCTCAAAGGTGGTCTCTTTAGGGACTATTGTTGCTAGAGTTATGTTTCAAGTTGAGTTGGTCATCCCATATACCCCTAGACCCTATCCAAGCTGTTTACCCCAAATAAAACAACAAAAAAAAAACAAGTCCATGGACTGGTTACTGACTCTGAATGGAAGTTGGAAAATGTGTGTTGCCTGGGTGTGCAGGAAATAGGGGGGAGGGAGGGTGGCAAGAGCAGTGGCTTTCAAGGGGGGTGGCGCTACAGAAGATTGGAAGAGCTAGAAGTTCTTTGTATGATGAGCCTTCACTGGAGACACCGGAACACCATCATTTGGAGAGAGGTCCACATCCTTTTGGCTATGTAGGAAACAAGCTCGTATGACTTGTTTGCCTGACTTGTATCTCTGGGGAACGATCTGTGAATAGTTGGTGGGCCAGATCTTGGTAGGTTTTCTCATCTGTAGTTAAAGAGGTTCTTTTAAGTTCCTCTTTTGCATTAGTTCCAATGTCAACGTTCCAGAAGGTCAGCCCTGCCGAAACATTGACCTTGGTTAAAATATGTTTGAAAAGTTCCTCCTGGTGTAGGTCCCGTTGGGTGCACCTACTGCCTGCTTCATGTTCTTTGTACTTTGTTCGTGGATTGCACCTCGGCTAATATCCCTGCTTGTGGCCCACCCCTACACTACCTAGCAATGGCAGCCTACACAGTTCTCGATTTATTCCTTTCGGTTAAAAGTTGACGTCCTACAGACAAATCTATGAGGTATGTTCACCTATCCTTGCATGGTGCATTGCATGCTCCAGACCATTCATGCCCGACTTATTCCGTAACGGTGTGTTTGTCATTTTCGGTGCCCGTATTTATGTCATTGCTCCATACAAGTCGTCTGGATGATACATTGTGTGCCCCGAGTGTTACAGATAACCAATCATGTATGTTGTTACAAAACTGTATGTGTCACTCATTTCTTCCATGCTGCCTTCAACGCCTGGATCCTCGACAGGCCAACTAACCTGAGTTCATTTTATTCCCCGTGTTTAGAAACAGCATGGACATAGTATGCCGAGTACTTGGCAGGATTGTAGATACGTTTGTTTTTTTAATCTTGGTGGGGGTTCAGCTTCAGACGTCTGGAGGAAATTCATTGACTGTGAATTGTGGGTGTGGCTAGAGGCTTATAGTTTGAGCCATCTCGCTGTGTACACGGCCCTGGTCCCCAAAAATATTCTCTACTTATCGTGCCATGTGCAAGAGTTTGACAGATGTCAGGAGTGGAAAATGCACAGAGCACAGGGGACAGGAGTGTATAATACACAGAGCACAGGGGTCAGGAGTGTATAATGCACAGAGCACAGGGGTCAGGAGTGGAAAATGCACAGAGCACAGGGGTCAGGAGTGTATAATGCACAGAGCACAGGGGTCAGGAGTGTATAATGCACAGAGCGCAGGGGTCAGGAGTGTATAATGCATAGAGCGCAGGGGTCAGGAGTGTATAATGCACAGAGCACAGGGGTCAGGAGTGTATAATGCACAGCGCGCAGGGGTCAGGAGTGTATAATGCACAGAGCGCAGGGGTCAGGAGTGTATAATGCACAGACAGGGGTCAGGGGTGTATAAGCACAGGTGTAGTAGTGTATGCACAGAGCACAGGGGTCAGGGGTGTATAATGCACAGAGCACAGGGGTCAGGGGTGTATAATGCACAGAGCACAGTGTCAGTAGGTATAATGCAGAGCACAGGGGTCAAGAGTGTATAATGCACAGAGCACAGTGGTCAGGAGTGTATAATGCACAGAGCACAGGGGTCAGGGTGTATAATGCACAGAGCAGGGGTCAGGGGTCAGAGACAGTGTGTAGTGTAAATGCACAGAGCGCAGGGGTCAGGAGTGTATAATGCACAGAGCGCAGGGTCAAGGAGTGTATAATGCACAGAGCGCAGGGGTCAGGAGTGTATACAGCACAGAGCGCAGGGGTCAGGAGTGTATAATGCACAGAGCGCAGGGGTCAGGAGTGTATAATGCACAGAGCACAGTGTCAGGAGTGTATAATGCACAGAGCACAGGGGTCAGGAGTGTATAATGCACAGAGCACAGGGGTCAGGAGTGTATAATGCACAGAGCACAGGGGTCAGGAGTGTATAATGCACAGAACACAGGGTCAGGAGTGTATAGAGCACAGGGTCAGGAGTGTATAATGCACAGAGCACAGGGTCAGGAGTATATAAATGCACAGAGCAGAGGGGTCAGGAATGTATAGAGCACAGGGTCAAGAGTGTATAATGCACAGTGCGCAGGTGTCAGGATGCATAAATTACAGGTCAGTAGACAGAATAGAACAAGAAAATCCCCTCCGTCCCCAAGCCAAAATCGCCCAGTACAGATTCCTCCCCTCTTATGGATAAAGAGCCCTACCTGTTCAAATCAGTGGAGACCCTCCAGTACAAATCCCTCTCCCAGAAACTTTCCCCTCCAATACACATCTTCCCCCTAGTACAGCTTCCTCATCTCACTTGTATTCACTCACCAGACCAGGGATTTCAGAGTTAAGAGAAGTCCTCCCTTGGCTGTGTCATGTGACTGGAGACCTCCTTCACCTTGAACTGCCGCTGGCTGTCTCTAAGTTCTGACAAGTATCAGGAGTGGAAGCTTCCATGTTTCGGGAGCTATAGTGGATGGTCTGTGGGAAGTTTGGACCCCCCCTATTCCCCCTCCTGCTCTTGAACCATTAACAAGAAGGGCTTTCCCCTTACTAAATCTGTCTTTTGAAGGACATCTGTACTCCTGTTACAATTCTCCTTTAATCATTTATCCCCAGCACCCAAAGTGCAGCCTACCAGCTCAAATACATATTTTCCATCTCCATCCAGCAAAGTGTTCTTGCCGGGTTCTTCCTTTTAGTGCGCATGCATGCGTTTGGCCCTATTCATTCCTGTGTGTAAACCATATGCTTCAGGACCTCTGGAGACCACCATAAGCATTGCTTAGCCATAGGAATGAATAGAGGCCACGGTACACATGCGTCCTAAAACGAGAGCATTTTTGTTGGAAATTTTGTGCAGCTCCAAGAGGACCACACTGCAGAAATTATGGGATCACAGTGGAAGGTAAATATTTGAGATGGTTGGATGAATTCGAATGGTTGGAGAAATGTTCTGTTACAATGTATCACGTACCTGGTGATGGAGGCCAATGGAGAGAGGGCTTCCCTTGCAGCTAAGTTCCGGACTCCCCTGAAGTGGCACAGTGGGAGTCAGGCCCAAAGTTGCACAGGTCACCTGTAGGAGTGCTGGTTGGTGGTCCACTCAGAAGCACAGCTGGTGCACGGAGATAGGTCTGCAGACAGGAGGCGCCTGTGCGTGGTATGCAAGCCCTTCCGGGATTTAGATGTTTACTGGGTAGTCGGTTCAAGCCAAGGTCAGGTACCAGGTGGGAATCAGAGCAGATGTAGTCAGATGGGATAGCTGAGGTCATACACAAGGGAGCGAGAGAGAGTATCCATAAGCCAAGCCGAGGTCAGATCAGGGGTAAGGCAGAGTAGAAAGGTCCAGGAGCAAACTGAGTCGGTAACAGGAAATCACGGGTCAAAGTCACAGGGAGCTAGAGATCATCCAGCAACTTGAGGAAGTGATGAGCCTCCTTATAAAGGCCATCTGGCACCAGACTGAGGCTGATGTGTCCTTCTGAGGCCATGCAGAGTACTGGCAGAAATGCAGATCTTCCAGAACCTCTGCTGTGGACAGGACCCTGACACAATGGAACTGCACTTATCTGGGGAAACCAGAGCTCTTGCTGTGCATACTTTGTCCATTATAGTAGTGTTCCCTTCTCAACCATCCATGACTGACATAACTGAAATCCAACCAATGAAAGTGGCAGGTCAGGGACAGTCAGGCTGGGGTGGAAAGGGCTGGATGATGCTTTCCAGCCAGGAAATGATGCGGAGCTCTGTGTGACTTACTGCAGCTTTTAACGCACATTGGGAGAAGCTCACAGTGTGCAGTGAAATCAGTCCAGGAGAGGAGCCGGTACAACTGTGCAAGACTGAAGGGGAGGCTGGAAGTCATCTTCCATTCCGTTCATGTATCCACATTAATGTCATGAGTATTATACCCTTCCTGACAATTCCATCCATTTGTCTTCCATTATAATGTGCTGTTGTTATTTAGAATCTGAGTGTGTAGGAGTTCGCCCTTTTTGGAAATAATTTTTAGAGGAAGAAGAAGTTTCTTGTGCTGCCGTTATTGTTAGTTTTGTTTTTGGCCAGCAGTTGACATGGACTTGCTTGACCACCATCCATAGCTCCTGGCTTCTTCTGATTTAGTTGGTGAACGCTTCGGGTAGTTAAAGTCAAGAACATTGCACCTCTCTCATGTAATTGTCTTTGTTTTCGATGTAGTGATGTTGCTGTAGAGCTCCCGTTCACCTTGATGCATCCGAAACCCAAGGAGGAACCTCTCCATAGAGAAGGTAAGGACCTAGAGACAACGTGTAATCTGCAACTCAATCTCTTTCTTTTTGGTTTTGGTTATAATAGGGAATGATTGGAGCTCCTGTCTGTTTGGGAGATCTCTCATCATTTCCTGTCTCAGGGATACGCCAGTGTGAAATAATGAACATGAATACTCCTGCGCTTGGGGGTGACTCGATGGTTATGGATCCATTCTGAAGATCCTGGATGGTGCACACCCTGCTGCCCTCAATGGACTGGAGGAGTCCAAACACTGGATACAAAGAAACAAACAGAAGGCGCACCGGCCAAGTGCATTACCACATGCTAATGTGAACCTTCCCAAGCGAGAGGAAGCCCCACTTCTGTCCTCAAAACAGCTTTCCCCACTTTCGTCATGCATGGGGAATCCATCTGGAGCTAAGGTGGCGGTGTAGGTTACAAAGGAGACACGGGGAGCAAAGAACACTGCAGAGACTGGATACCCGGAGTCATTGTTCCTTCTCCTTCAGCAAATTGTGAGCCAAGGTGCAGGGTCTAAGGAGCATTCTGGTCTTCACCAGAACACCCTGAAAGGGGTGATGGGTTCTGTTGCTGATGACTCCCAGGTTGGGGCCCTCATTAATCCAAGCAGGCAGCTCCGAGAGACTGAGAACAGATATTCAGAGATGAGTCTCCTGCAGTACTAAGGTGCTGGGCTTGCTAGGAGTCATAGCAACAGGTCTCTTGTAGCACTGGTACCCTGGACTCCGAGTGGAATTCTGAAGAGTACAGGGACACATGAGTGGAGAGAGACTAAATACAGAATTGGAGTACTCAGAGGATCACACAGGGGCTGGGATGCAAGTTGCTGGCTGGAATACAAAGGGAATCACTCCTGTACTGGTTGCAGGTTGCTCACTAAAGGGGTCATAGAGGATCGCTGGAGTCATAACACTGGCAGACAATGAAAAACACATGGGGGTTGCAGAGGATCACTGGAATCAGGAACATGGGGGGCTCAATGAAAAACACATGGGGGTTGCAGAGGATCACTGGAATCAGGAACATGGGGGGCTATGAGAACAAGGGGTCACAGAAAAAACACATGGGGGACTTGCAGGGGCACAGAAGATCACTGGAATCAGGAACATGGGGGGACTATGAGAAACACAGGGGTCACAGAGGATCACTGGAATCAGGAACATGGGGGGACTATGAGAACCCACACGGGGCACAGAAGATCACTGGAATCAGGAACACTGGGGGGCTCAATGAAAAACACATGGGGGTCGCAGAGGATCACTGGAATCAGGAACATGGGGGGACTATGAGAAAACACGGGGGTCACAGAGGATCACTGGAATCAGGAACATGGAGGGACTATGAGAACACACAGGGGCACAGAAGATCACTGGAATCAGGAACATGGGGGGCTCAATGAAAAACACATGGGGGTTGCAGAGGATCACTGGAATCAGGAACATGGGGGGACTATGAGAACCCACAGGGGTCACAGAGGATCACTGGAATCAGGAACACTGGGGGACAATGAGAACACAAGGGGGTCGCAGAGGATCATTGGAATCAGGAACATGGGGGGACTATGAGAACACACGGGGGTCACAGAGGATCACTGGAATCAGGAACACTGGGGGACAATGAGAACACACGGGGGTCACAGAGGATCACTGGAATCAGGAACACTGGGGGACAATGAGAACACACGGGGGTCGCAGAGGATCATTGGAATCAGGAACATGGGGGGACTATGAGAACACACGGGGGTCACAGAGGATCACTGGAATCAGGAACACTGGGGGACAATGAAAAACACACGGAAGTCGCAGAGGATCATTGGAATCAGGAACATGGGGGGACTATGAGAACACACGGGGGTTCACAGAGGATCACTGGAATCAGGAATATGGCAGGACTATGAGAACACATGGGTGTCACTGAGGATCACTGGAATCAGGAACACTGGATACAGTGAAAAACACATGGGGATCGCAGAGGATCATTGGAATCAGGAACATGCGGGGACTATGAGAACACACCGGGGTCACAGAGGATTGCTGGAGTCAGGAACACTAGGGGACAATGAAAAACACACAGGGGTCACAGAGGATCACTGGAATCAGGAACATGCGGGGGGGACTATGAGAACACACCGGGGTCACAAAAGATTATTGGAATCAGGAACATGGGGGGACTATGAGAACACACGGGGGTTACAGAGGATCATTGGAATCAGGAACATGGGGGGACTATGAGAACACACGGGGGTTACAGAGGATCATTGGAATCAGGAACATGGGGGGAGGATCTATGAGGGGGGCTAACACACAGGTCACAGAGGATCACTGGAATCAGGAACATGGGGGGGGGGCTATGAGAACACACAGGGGCACAGAGGATCACTGGATTCAGGAACATGGGGGGGGGGGGCTATGAGAACACACGGGGCACAGAGGATCACTGGAATCAGGAACATGGGGGGGGGGGCTATGAGAACACACGGGGCACAGAGGATCACTGGATTCAGGAACATGGGGGGGGGGGGGGCTATGAGAACACACGGGGCACAGAGGATCACTGGAATCAGGAACATGGGGGGGGGGCTATGAGAACACACGGGGCACAGAGGATCACTGGAATCAGGAACATGGGGGGGGGGGGGCTATGAGAACACACAGGGGCACAGAGGATCACTGGAATCAGGAACATGGGGGGGGGGGGCTATGAGAGGACACACGGGGGGGGGGGGGGCTATGACAGAGGATCACTGGAATCAGGAACATGGGGGGGGGCTATGAGAACACACGGGGCACAGAGGATCACTGGAATCAGGAACATGGGAGGACCTGTGTTTTCCAAATATTAAGTAAAAGAAAGGGACAACTATAGAACAAATTCAGATTTTTGTTGCCTATCTGACCTTGTTTTAGAGAGTTAATATGAAACATTAAGAAATGTCGTCATGGTGACCTCGAATGATCTGTGACTCGTATGTGTGAATGGTGCGGTCTGTGCGTGGTTTGATTCACCAATGTATAAATGTATCGATAATATATGTCGTTTTGTCTTTTCTATACACTTTTGGAATACAGGGAATGAACAGATAAGACCTTCTATGGTGCTTCTTCTGTAGAGGGTTCACCAGTCAACCACAACCCCCTTCCCACCAGTTACTCATCTAGATTATCCTTTTTCAACCAGGGTGCCAGCCACCCTGGGGTGCCTTCAGGTTTCTTCAGGGATGAGACCTTCTATGGTGCTTCTTCTGTAGAGGGTTCACCAGTCAACCACAACCCTCTTCCCACCAGCTAGTCATCTACTGTAGATCAGCCTTTTTCAACCAGGGTGCCAGCCACCCTGGGGTGCCTTCAGGTTTCTTCAGGGATGAGACCTTCTATGGTGCTTCTTCTGTAGAGGGTTCACCAGTCAACCACAACCCTCTTCCCACCAGCTAGTCATCTACTGTAGATCAGCCTTTTTCAACCAGGGTGCCCAGCCACCTTGGGGTGCCTTCAGGTTTCTTCAAGGATGAGACCTTCTATGGTGCTTCTTCTGTAGAGGGCCTTTGTTCCAAACACTAACCCTCGCACTGACCTAGATCAAACCTTGATCGAGGTATTTTTTTTTATTTTACATTTTTTTAAATTATTATTAAAACATTTATTATACACACTTTTTTTTCTCTCTGAAAGGACAGAGAGAGATGCAAGGTTATCCTTCTCCTTCACTCAGAGAGAGAAAACACGGGCGGCAGGCTTCCGAGTGACTGATCACTGTGGTAGCCAATCAGAGGCTATCACAGCAATCAGGTTACGGGTCCCAATCATTACCACGGGACCCTGGGCTCTAGATGAGACTCTGGTCTCTGTACTGGGAGTTCACCGCACCTTGACCTTTGACCCTTGCCCCAGACACAAACCCTCAGGCTGACCTAGATCAAACCTTGATCTAGGTTTTTTTTTTTTCTTAATTATTATTATTTCTTTTTTTTTTTTTTTTTTTTTTACACTTTTTTTACTCTCTGAAAGAACAGAGAGGGATACAACGTATCTGTCTCCTCCATTCAGAGAGAGAAAACACAGAGGTGTGACTGATCACTGTGATGGCCATTCGGAGGCTATCACAGCGATCAGGTGACCCGCAATCAGAAACCACAGGACTCTGGGCTCTTGGTGCGACCCCAGTCTCTATACTGGCACGCTCCCGGGAACAAAAGACCAGTACGCAAATATGCATCTACACAAAAAAAAAGCCCAGTCCAGCGGGGCCGCATATTTGTGTAGGGTCAGTGTGAAGGGGTTAAACTCCAAACTTTCTGCAGATGTAAAATGAGCAACAGTAGCCTGATTCTCATTGGTTAATGTGAAACCTCTGATGCAAAAGTTTCATTGGGGTCTACGTTGACCCCATTACAGCCCCAGCAGAGAGAATGGCTTAACCATTGTAAGACCTAGTGTAACAATTATACTTCAAATGATAGTCATGCGTAAATCAGAATATGTCGTAAATGCATTTACAGTGAAGGAAATGTGTATTTGATCCCCTGCTGATGTTGAATGTTCGCCCCTCACACAGAAATGATCGGTCTAACAATGGAATGTTCACCCCTCACACAGAAATGATCGGTCTAACAATGGAATGTTCGGTGTAACACTGAGAGACAGAATACAACAACAAATTCAGCAGAAATGCGTCTAACAAATGATGACTGATCTGCATGTTCATGAGGGAAAGAAGGATTTGATCCCCTTCACAAAACATGACTTAGTACTTGGTGGCAAATCCCTTGTTGGTAATCCCAGAGGTCAGACGTTTCCTGGAGTTGGCCCCCAGGTTCGCACACATCTCAGGAGGGATTTTGGCCCACTCCTCTTGGCAGATCCTCTCCAAGTCATTAAGGTTTGGTGGCTGACGTTTGGCAACTCGAAATTTCAGCTCCCTCCACAGATTTTCAATCGGATGAAGGTCTGGGGACTGGCTAGGCCACTCCAGGACCTTAATGTGCTTCTTCTTGAGCCGC